TTATTTTTTTAATTTTTTTGCTTAAGTTGAACACTAGTTTGATCATGTATAAATATCAACTATATTGTATTAATATTATTATAACTATAGGCCTGCATCATGCTGACAATCAGTGTTAGGAAAGCTACTTGAAAAATGTAGTGAGCTAAGCTATTAGCTACTCTACTTAAAATGTAGCTTAACTACACAAAAAACGACCCCCTGGGAAATGTAGGAGGCTAAGCTAAAAGCTACATGGCAGAAGTAGCTTAGCTACATCTAAGAAATTTTTTACAATTTTTATTTTTAAATAAAAGCTACTTAAATCCAAGTCAGTCATATCTTAGACTGTAAAACTGTCAATGAAACATGAGGCAGAATAGTTCAGTTCATTTATTTACTGCTAATAATATCTTGTACTTAAACAAATTATAGTATATAACAACAGAAACTCCAATTAAACCAGCTGTTAAACATTTAAAATGCTATAGTCATTTATAGTAAATAATATATTTATATATATAATATACAAAATATTTTGGAATAAGCATTATAGTGTGTGTGTGTGTGTGTGTGTGTGTATACTGTGTGGGTGTGTGTGTATGTGTGTAAATATATATATATATATATTTATATATATATATATAGAGAGAGAGAGAGAGAGAGAGATACAGTTGAAGTCAGAATTATTCGCCCCCTTTGACTTTTTTTTTTCCTTTTTTAAATATTTCCTAAATGATGTTTAACAGAGCAAGGAAATGTTCACAGTATGTCTGTTAATATTTTTTTTCCTCTGGAGAAAGTCTTATTTGTTTTGATTCGGCTAGAATAAAAGCTTTTTTAAATTTTTTAAACACCATTTAAGTCAAAATTATTAGCCCCCTTAAACTATATGTTTTGAAAGTCTACAGAACAAACCATCGTTTTACAACTGTATGTATAACTTTAACTGTTAATAGCTATTAGTTACTGGTTAATTAGTTACAGTTACCTTAATTTTTCTGATCTTGTTTGTAATGCTGTAATGTGCACCATTCGTAAATCTGCTTCGAAACAATAATTATTGTGAAAGAGCTATTCAAATAAACTTAAATAGAATTGAATTGAAACAACATGCTTAAAGGCATTTTTCAGATTAATAAATCTTAATTTAAAACACTTTTATACTGGAAAACTCGGCAAACAAATGTTTTTTTTCTTTTTACAGTGTACAAGCCTGTTTTCTTTCCTTCCTTTGGATCCATAAATAGACATTTAAAATGGAAATCATAATCCCAGTCTTTTGTGCTAGTACTGCTCCTTTCTCTGTAAAAGCAGTTTTGGCGTGAGTAGTGGAAGCAGACCGGTGTGTGTATCTGTGTGTGTGTTTCTGGTGGAAAAGACTGTGGCCTAATTGTAGTTGACGAAAGACCTGTCGCCTTGATCTGCAGAACTGTTGAATGACAGCGTTGAAAGTCTACGCTTTTGACATCACTTCCTGTTTTTCCTCTTTAAAGGGATAGTTCACTCAAAATTAAATTCTCATATCATTTACACGCCCTTCACTTGTTTCAAACCTCTTTGAGTTTCTTTTTTCTGTTGAACACAAAAAAAAAGATATTTTAACAAATGTTGAAAAACCTGTAACCATTGTGTAACCACAAGTTTTCAGCTTTCTTCAATGTACAGTTAAAGTCAAAATTATTAGCTCTTCTGTGATTTATATATTTTTTTTATTAATTTTAATTTAAATTTTTTAAATAATCAGTTAGTTAGTTAGTTAGTTAGTTGATTAATTGATTAATAAATTGTTTAATTAATCAATCAATCAACTAACTAACTAACTAACTAACTAACTAACTAACTAACTAACAAAACAAACTAACAAACTAACAAATTAATTAATAAAAAACAATAAATAAATAAATAAATAAATTTATTTATTAATTTGGTATTTCCCAAATGATGTTTAACAAAGCAAGAAATTTTTCACAGTATTTCCTATAATATTCTTTCTTCTAGAGAAAGTCTTATTTGCTTTATTTCGGCTAAAATTAAAGCAGTTTAAATTTTTTCTTTTTTATTTATTTATTTTTTTTTACAATTTTAAGGCCAATATTATTAGCTTCTCCATGGACCGCCACCTTATCGTGGTGGAGGGTTTTGAGTGCCTGAGTGATCTTAAGAGTTATGTTGTTAGGGGCTTATGCCCCTGGTGGGTCTCCCAAGGCAAAAAGGTCTTAGGTGACAGGTCAGGTGCAGCCTGGGCCCCATTCTGAAGCCAGGCCAGGGGTTGGGGCTTGTATGCGTATGCCTGGTGGCCGGGCTTAGCCCGAAGGAGCGACGTGGGACCATCCTCCTGCAGGCCCACCACCTACAGGGGGAGTCGTAAGGGGCCGGTGCATTGTAGGCGACCCGGCCCCAGATAAGCGGATGAAAATGATGATGATGATATTATTAGCTCCCTTAACCAATATTTTGTTTTGGAATGTCTACAGAACAACTCACTTTTATACAACCACTTATAATGAATTCACCTAACTTGCCTAACTAACCTAATTAACCTAGTTTGTCACTGTCAGTGGGTGGGGAAAGGAGTAAAGACTCAAGAGTTTTTTTACTAACTATAACAAGAAACAAAAACAGAATAAAAACAACCCTGTTGGGGAAAACATAACTAAACAGACAAACAACAGACTGAAAGGAAAGTTCTGACATTTAGTCTATATATTGTTGAGCTCAGCAGCTATTCACTAATAAAGTTCTACATTTAACATTTCATTTTTAAATTTTACCATGTCATATAAAAACATAAACACTTGTTTGAGGACATAAAACACATTTTTACTTGCCGTTTTCCCCAATTCGTTTGTAAAGCGGCGCTGCGCAGGACTGGATGACAGAAAGGAAGGTCATTTCAGTTTTCACTCACCCCTAAAAATGCACGATTTGATTAATATCATCATATCCAAATACTTTATAAATATTATTTTAAACCTCTGGTGTTTATTGTTTTTAGAAAATATGTGAAATCTTTTTTTTCCAGAGAGACCTGTATAAAATGAATGTTTAATTTGGCTTTAAAATAGTTTAATTTATGTATTGTATACTTCTACATAGTTATAGCTAACTTTTGTTTGTTTTATATTGGCTTATTTATTTAATGTGATTTTATTATATCCAATAGTTGTAATTCTTTATGATTTCAATATAACTTAAGCTATTTTATCAAGATATGACACTATTGTGTTGAGCCTACAAAAATGGACCCGTAATTTGTAAAGTTTTATGTCTTCTGTTGTATTCATGTTGTGTATTACCTCCAAAATAAATAAAAGAAAAAAGCCGCTCACAGCATCCACAAAGCTGTCAAGTGAGCGCTCTTTTGCCCGGTTTCACACTCACATACAGGCATCTAAATTCGCATGTTTCATACACAAAATCAGTTTCAGTTCAGTTTCAGTTTCCTTTATTTATGTCATTCAAATCATCACAATAGAATTGTAATGCAGAACGAAATTACGTTGCAACAGACCCAACAAGAACAGAAAAAACATCACTATAAAAACACTATAAAATCCTAACATGATAAATAAGCTTTTATTATTCCATAAAATATAAAAAATATAATTATATAAGATATAACCCATTTTTTTTATCTCTGAAGAGAATAACTTAATACTTAAATACCTATTTCACCATTTGTTGTAATATTAACAATTTTTGTTAATTTTTTTAAAATCACCTTTTAAATTTGACAAAAACTCTCGACAACCTTTACTGGCGGCTGTGTCTTTAATATGGTGTAAAGATTATTATGTGTTATTGAAACATTAAGGAGGACGCAGCTTAGAATGTCACTTATAAATTAAAACTTTTATTATTTTATGCAAAAGTCTTACATTTTAAAAGGGAAACATAAGGGCGATCATAAACAAAAAGACCCCTAGCCTATAATGTGTTTTATGGAATAGCCTATCTTAAACTGACCAGCTGTTTTCTTTCCTTTATTTATTTATTTCACGGCATGCCATCTTTACCAGACTCGGGCAAAGTTCGCCTCTCCTTTCACTCCGTTTCGAAGCCCAGCTGGCCCTCTTTGGCCCTAGGTATTCGGCGGGCCGAAAAAGACTGGCCGCTGGCCCCGAGAAAGCCCTGCTTTGGCCCGATCAGGCCCTAGAAGTGACAGTGGAAACCCGACTGGCCCTGGCTTGCCTTAGCTAGCTCGCTTTAGGGCGCGATAGTGGAATTGAGACTATGAGAGTTCACATTAAACGCGTGTTCACATGAAATCCGACAATAAAGCCACAGTGTAAACACCAAGCCACTTGTTTTAAGATCGTAAGACACGAGTACACGATAAATGAAAACACTTACCATGCATTCACAGATGCAACTTGCATGTTCAATCCCAGCTCCAGAAACCAACAAGACAGAGACGCTGAGAAAGAACACCCTGCTGCACACATCTCAAGCACATCCAGACCTCGGGACCTAACGCACGGCCCAAATGCAGCCAAGACGGCGCTCGTACAAAGACAGACACTGACAGGAAATATGAGTACTCGACCCGAGAAAACTTGAGCCGAGCACAAACATAAACATGACAGGACAAGTGTCTGGAGTTTAAATAAGATTTAAGAAGACTGAAGTGGCAGAATCCTGACAAATCAAATCTTTAAATGTCACTTTAAGCTGAATACTAGTATCTTGAAAGATGTCTAGTCAAATATTTTGTGCTGTCATCATGGCAAAGATAAAATAAATCAGTTATTAGAGATGAGTTATTAAAACTATTATGTTTAGAAATGTGTTGAATAAATCTTCTATCCATTAAACAGAAATAGGGAAAAAAATAAACAGGGGGGCTAATAATTCTGACTTCAACTGTATATTAATTTGTCTTCAACAGAAGAAAGAAACTACTTAACGGAAAGTATACAATGAGAATGTTCATTTTTGCGTGAACTGTCCCTTTAACTCTTTAAGGTCATGTGATCATTTGCAGCATTATAACTTGTTTATTATTCCCTTCTCTGCAGTGTTTTTGGCATCTCCTCCATCATTTACACAGACTGCTCCTCTACATGGAAGCTTGCTGTCAGGAGTGGACTCAAATGGCATCATTTCGTCAATCCCATAATGATCCTGGTCCTGTATTACACACTGGCCACGCTGATCCGCCTGTGGCTGCAGGATCCTATGATGATGGTGAGCCTTTATACTATTGACTTAGCTTTCTGGGAAATTCTTTTTCAAATATCAATATTAAAAAGCAAAACAAAATTAAAGATGATTTTTTTAAAGCACATTTTTAAACATTAAAGTTTTAATAACTCATTTATTTATTTTTTTGTGCCATGATAATAGTGCATTCAGATTAAAGTGCAATTTAAAGGCTTAAATGACAAGGTTAAATAGCTCAACTATAGGCAAGAGGCTAATAATATTGAGCATAGCAGTTTTTACAAACAAACAGTAAATAAATATATATAACTAACAAATGCATAGTTAAATAAATAAATGGTTAGATATCGAAATAAATAAACAAATAAAAATAAAATATATTAAAAAACTAAATAAATAAACAAGTAAATAAGTAGAAAGATAGATAGATGGTTAAATAAATACATAAATTATATTAAAATTAAATTAAATAAATAAGGATAGATAGATAGATAGATAGATAGATAGATAGATAGATAGATAGATAGATAGATAGATAGATAGATAGATAGATAGATAAATTAATTATTGCATTAAAATAGCATTAAATAAATAAATAAACAAAAAGAAAGTTAAATAAATAAATAAATAAATAAATAAATAAATAAATAAATAAAAAAAAATAAAAATAAAGTTAAAATATAAATAAATTAATTAATTAATTAATAAAAATAAAGTAATATTAAGTTAAATAAATGAATTGATAGTTAAAAATATAAATAGATAGGTAATAAATGCAAAAATGATAAAATTAATTATTGAATTAAAATTTAATTAAATTAATAAATAGTTGAATAAATGAAAGAATGAATAAATAAAGAATCAGATAGTTAAATAAATAATGAATGAATAAATAAGTTCAAATAAAATAAATGAATAAATAGATAGTTAGATAGATAATTAAATTAATTAATGCATTAAAATAGCATTAAATAAATAAATAAACAAACAGAAAGTTAAATAAACAAATAAATAAATAAATAAAAATATAGATAGTTAAATAAATTAATTAATTAAAATAAATTTCAATAAATAAATAAGTAGTTAAAGAAATGAATGAATGAATAAATAAACAGATAGTTAAATAAATACAAGAATTAAAAGGAAATAAAATAAACACATAAATAAGTAGTTAAATGGATAAATAAATAAGTTTAATAATTTAATTGTAAATATATACATAAATAATAAAATGATAATGAATTTTAATTAAATAAATAAATGAATGAATGGATGGATGGATGGATGGATGGATGGATGGATGGATGGATGGATGGATGAATGATATAAATGAATAAACAGATAGTTAAATAAATAAATGAATGAATAAATAAATTAGTTTAAATAAAAAAATATTGATAGTTAAATAAATAAATAAATAAATTAGAATAAAATAAATGAATAAATACATAGTTAAATAAAAATAATAAATAAATAAATAGATAAATAAATAAATGAATGAATAAATAAATAAGTTTAAATAAAAAAAAGATAGTTAAATAAACAAATGAATTAAAATAAATGCATAGTTAATAAATAAAATAATAAATAAATAGATAGATAGTTAAATAAATAAATGAATGAATGAATAAATTAATGAATTAAAATAAAATTTATTAATTAATATAAAAAGAAACACTTTGAAAAACATCATTGCTCTGTTAAATATGACTTGTGATAAAACAAGTCTCACAGGAGGGCTAATAATGAGATCTCGATCTGTATGAATATGTTAATGATGTGGCTCATATTGATCAGTGTGAGTGAGCTGTGTTTGGTCTGATCCTGTCATCTTCTCCTCATCTGCTGTGGTTCATATGTTTATAGACCGATCAATAGACGGGAATCTTTAAAACCGCACATGTATGAGCTTATTGATTCTCACGCCTCAAGCTTTGATTACATCAGGATCTCATGATTTTGATGTGGCCGTAAATCTAAGCCGGGACAATAAACGTGTGTCTTGAGTTTATACAGAGATCAATGCAGAATCAATTATGCTGTTACGACCTCATCCAGTGCAATAATTGGCTATTATAATCTTCAGAGTTTTCATTCCTGAGCTGCTCTAGATACATGTTGTCATTTTATTTGTTATCTGAGTGTGTTTCTGTGTTTATCGACCGTTTCTCAAGGAGGACAGCGAGGACGGAGAGGTGATCGAGGGCAATGAAGCCATGGAAAACAACGTCCATCACACGTCCATCCGGAAACGGCTGCTCTGGTGGAAAGCGCATCAGAAAACCGAGGAGAGAAATGTGAGGAGAGCTTAAATCTAATTGTTCTTCTGACTGCTGGACTTTTTTGTCATAAACTCTTAAAGGTGCTGTATGTAACTCATCTAAAGCATAAAAATACCATAATATGTTTGCAGATATTTCAGAAACATGCTAAGTGAACATTCTTGTTCATCTAAAAACAAATTGCTGAAGTCAGATATTCTGCTTTGAAAATGTGAGCTACGTACCAGAACGTCTGTCTTTGTTTTGGTCTTTTAACCTACCCAATGCCAGTTTAGCCAATTATGTTTCATCACCCTGGGTTGCCTTGGTGGAAAACCATGTATTCTATTCGTTCAGTCTGTAAAGCTCTCAAAGTATGCGTCTGTGACTGAAATGCGACCTCTGGTGGACAGTAGCAGACTCCGAAATGAGATACAGATTCAGAGTTCCACATGAGGAGGTTATTAATTAGCAATTAATTTAAATATTGAGTAAAGATTAGGTGAGCTAGTTACATTGTAACTAAGGGTGTCATGATCCTCCAAATCCTCGATTCGATTACATTTTCGATTCTAAAGTCACGGTTCAATTTGATTTTCGATTATGAATATTTAATTAATTAATAACGAATTAATTATTTGTAGCTTATCGTTTAAACTGCCTGACCTGCATGGTCTTTGTTTTACCCATAAACAAATCATACAGTAAATGAATAAAGGCAAGATACACACATAATTACCACCTGTCAATCACTTTTTCTGCGGGACTCGTGAATAGGCAGTGATCTGTGTCGTTATAATGGCGTCGGTAAAAAAGACGCACAACCAACAGGAACCAGCCAACAGTGTCTGAGGTGTTCGCTAAAATGACTAAGTACAAGTGAGTGAAAGATTGAAGCACTGATCCTCTGACTGCCTGCACCCGCTGTCTCGAGTGCATGACTGTGTGTGCGTCTGTGTGTGAATGAGTGTGTCTGGTCACGTGATGTGTGTTTTCAGCGGTAGTGATAAAGGAGGGCTGCTCAGAAATGGCGTGTAGCAGTGTGGATGTGGATCGTTGTCGTTCTAAAATGCCATTTAAAAACAAAGACATATTAGTGTAAACAGGGCCTGAGTGTGTATTTTCGCGAGCGGATTTGCAACGGGGGCAGGGCGGAGGATCGCGATGCGCCCATCGTCTATCGGCCCAACCCTAATACGTACATAGCAGAGCTTGCAAACTGTTTTTTTTTTGTCGACGACGAACGTTGTCAACATAACTCACGGAAAATCCAAAATACTTCCACACCGGCGACTTCATTGAAAGAGGAGAGGGTTTAAGCTCTGTCGACGGGTCTCCTGCGTCTGCAGTTTAACAAGCTCTTCAACAAGCCTGTTTTTTTCCCGGTTGACAAGCTAAGCTGACGTGACATGGGGGCGTGGCAGCATCGACGATTCTATTTTTTGATTCGATAATCAAAATTGAGCATCAATTTCGATCGATTTCAATTTTAAGATCGAAATCGTAACACCCTTAATTGTAACCCCGTGTCCTCACAACACACTACGTGACAAGATTTGGAGTGATGAGCAATCGGACTGTTGGGCCAGGCGAAACACAACAGAAATTTAAATACAGCCATTCAGAAGCACACAATAGGGCACTTACCAATGAAATGGTAAGGTTTATAATCAAATTAATACATAATAAACCTATTAAATTAAATGTAAATGAATCACTGCTATGTGTTGGCTTGCACTGAAGTTCCATTTCAAATGGTTTATTTTATTTTCCAGATCTGAGGTGAACTGCTGCTGCTTTCAGTAGTATGGTAATAAATGTCAAGTAAAATGGCATTGAGACTCACATTATTAGCATTTAGCTCTGAATAAAGCACATGAGGTGTACCTGAGGTAATCATTGTCAGTTTTCTGTTGTTCACCTGTGAGAGTGAAGCCATTGCTTTTTATTTTTAGAACATTACCTAATTCAGCCTCAAATCAGCCTTTAGGCTTGTTAATAAGGTTGTTAGGCTGGTTAATAAAGTTGATGTGATCAATCTGGCAACACACGCTTGTGTGTTTTGAACCAGGCGTGCAATACCTAGTCCAACCACTGGGTGTCAAACTTACATACTGCACCTTTAAAACAAAAATTTGATTTCATAAAAATAAAAAATAAAAACACAGGTCAGGTGTAAAGCAGCTTAAATTCTTCCTCTTCTCCTGTTGGAGTGTTAAGGTTTTTGATGGTGTGTGTGTGTGTGTGTGTGTGTGTGTGTGTGTGTTGTTCTCTATCTGTGAATAGAGCTGCTGTACTTCACTCTGCTCAGTGCTGATGTTAGAGAACAGTATAATGTTATTGAGCGTCCAGTGCTCATCAATACACTCACCTTGCCCCGTCTGCTCTCTTTCTCTCTCTCTCTCTCTCTTTTTTCAGCTGATCTCCACTCAGGATGGGTACAGCACCTCGGAGGTTTGTGCTCATTGTGCTTTTGCCAAGTCTTATGTAACTCTGTGTCTGCAAATTTTAACTGTAGACAAATATAGTGTGATTGATTTAGGCTTTTAGCAGCTTGTGTTTGTGCGTTCGCTCCTCTTGATGTGGCATGATTCAGTGGCGCTGCGGGCGAAACTTGATCTCTCCCAGAGAGTTTAAATCCCATGGATTTAAATTAGATTCATATGTTTCAGGTTTTATTAGAATATTATAAAACAATTTACATATAAACAATTCAAACAACTGTAAACAATTTACTGTTGTCTGTAACGCGAATATATATGTATACTAAATCAGTTATTGAACTGTCCAATATATTTTTTAAATGTTAGTATTTATACATTTATACAACAGTTCTGTCTGGCTCGAATCTGATTGGCTGATAGCCGTGCGATAACAGCACTCGTACATCCCTCCTAACCCTTGTGTATTAATCCGTATACATAGAATGACAGCAGATCAATAAACTCACTAAAGTTTGACAAATATTGCAGCTGTTGGACAACATAATGTACTTTTGAGGCTTTTTAGACAAGAATATAGTTGTTTAGATTGCAACTTTGCAGTTTATTTATAAGAACAGCATCATACTGAGCAGAGCAAAGACAGTTGATGTTCTGCCACAAGATGGTGACAGAGACTGCATAATAAGTCCTTAGGTAGAAACACTCTGCTTATATCTTAAACTACAGCTGATCAAATCATTATAAAACAGGTAAGTGATATTCGAAGCTGATATCTCTCTTTTGTATGTTGTAGTGCTGTATTTATACCATAGTAATCGGCTAGTGTTGGCTTTGCTTTGGCTTTAATTATTGGGGTTAATTATTGTGTTGGATTTAAAATATAGCAACTGTTTTTGCTGTTCTGACATGAATGAATGGCAGAAGAAAGTAGTTCCTCGTACAAAATAATTTTTGAGACTCCGTGTTAGATAAATATTTTTTTTTTTTACATATATACATGATTATGCCCTCAAACTGTTGTTTGAATGCAATATCACACTCATAGCAGGGCAATATGGCTGTGCATCATCAATATTTTTTGAATGTAGATTTAATTGTCAATAATTCAAACATATAAGTATAATAAATTGACTATTAAAAGTAAATATTTTAATGATTATTAGTATAAAATGTTATATGTAAAATGTGTGTGTGTGTGTGTGTGTAGTTGAATATATATATATATATAGTATTTATAAAAATAAATATGTATTTTTATGTATGTATGTATGTATGTATGCATGTATGTATGTTATAATTTTTTTGTTATTATTATTAATATTATTATTATTATTATTATTACATTCTGGTAATCAGAATTTGTGATGCATGTTGTTTAGAAACATTTTTAAAAATGATTATTGTAAGGAAATGTACTGTACACTAACACTTTTATACATAATCATTATATATAGTTTATATAATTAAAATGAATTATGCATTTAAAAATCTGTTACATTTCATAAATATTAGTATTCATTATTAATTTAAATTAATATTATGTAATATTAATAATGTATATATTTTTTTGCCTATTATTGTAAAATGTATGTGTCCTGGTAATGAGATTTTGAGACATGAATTTAATCAATTCTTTAATTTTGTGATTAATAAAAACTAACAGCCGGTCAATACCTTAACTATGATGCCCATAATTCCCGTTTGTGCCATCATGAAGTCGAACTTGATTATGGATAAAGAGATATTCTATTTTTTATATGCAATATGATCTGTTTCTTCTGTCATTTTAAGGTGTTAGTGGTCACCTCCAATGGGACGTCGTTTGATTATGTGTCCGCCGTGCCCATCGAGAACGGACCTGTCAGTCTGGACATTTACTCCACTCCTCAGTACAAAGTGGATCAGTCTGTCGAATATGACGGTGAGGTTTGTTTCCATGTTCCAGGGTGTCCGCGAAGTCTCAAATGCCTTAAAATGTCTTAACTTTCAAAATAAAATTTCAGGCCTCAAAGTGCCAATGAAAGTTTGTTATCGGACTGATAAAAAAAATCGCATTTATCAAACGATATCGTTATGGCTGTCGATTTTTCATGGATTCCTTTCTGGTTAACTTTGGATTGTTTTCTAAAGCGATGAAGTGTAAATAACTGTTATTTTACTGCCCCTCACAGAGAAGACGGATGAGAACACAAATGAGGTGCTGGACTCACAGCTGGAGGAGGAAGAGGAGAAGACAGATGAGGAAGAGGAAGCCGAAGAGGAAGAGCAGGGCGGACCACCGGCAGCTCTCGTCAAAGTGTTCAAGTTCATCATGAAGCAGAGCTACATCTGCGCTCTCATCGCTATGATGGTATAATATAGACAAAAGTCATTCATTCAGTCATTTTCCTTCAGCTTAGTCCCTTGTTTATCAGGGGTCACCACAGTGGAATGAACCGACAACTATTCCAGCATATGTTTTACTTTCAGCCGCAACCCAGTACTGGGAAACACCCATACACTCACATTTTCACACACACTCATGCACCACGGACAATTTTATTTACCCAATTCACCTGTAGGGCATGTGTTTGGACTGTGGGGGAAACCAGAGAGAATATGCAAACTCCACACAGAAATGCCAACTGATACCAACAGGACTCTCTTCTTGCCTTCTTGCTGTGAGGCGAGAGTAGAGATCTGCGCGGGACTAAATTTTGAATCCCGCTCCCGCCCGCACCCGCCAGGTTTTAGCCCGAACCCGACCGCTCCCGCTTATATTAAGCACTTGTTGTCCCGCTGCCCGACCCGCCCCGTTTTCTATCCGCCGCTAAAGAGCGGGGGGAGAACAAAACCGAAAATCACCCAGTTATACAGTCCAGACAGCCTATAACAAGCTGTCTGTATAAACACACACATGCACAGCACCAAGCACATACACACAGACAAAGCTTTCTCTCTCATTCGCGCGCGTGCCCTCTAACACACTCTCATAAGCACCAAGCACAAACACAGGCAAAGCTCTCTCTCTCATTCGCTCGTTCGCGCACACACACACACATCTCTCATTCGCACGTTTGCATACATACACACACACACACACACACACACACACTGCAACAAACAAGCTAAACACAGCATCGCGCTATTTCATTTACACACATACATACGCGTGCTCACTCGGGAGTCGGGAGCGATATTGCTAGACAGCCCGCTCCCGTCCCAAATTAAACTTGTTACCAACCGCTCCCGTGATTTATTCGGAAATTTATACCCGCGCCGTAGAATTCTGGTCGGGTCCCGCGGCTCCCGCGGGACAGCCGCGGGAATGCAGACCTCTAGGCGAGAGTACTAACCTCTGAGCCACTGTGCTGCCAAATTAAAGCAGTTTTTTTATGTTCTTTAATAGTTCTACATTATTAATGATGTGAGAAGTTCAAAGGTTAATTATAGAATTCCTTTTTGAATAGTTTCTTTATTACATTTAAGCAGGTCGCACACCAGAAGTGCCGCTCGGCGCCGCGACACGGTGCGCACATGACAGTTTAAAGTATCACACACCAGACGCGCACATTCGAATGATATTTAACATGAAACTAATCAGATGGCGCTCAGTGGCGCGGCTGAAAAACGACCTGCGTCCTGAGCCGTGGCCGGGCGCCGGCGACAGCCGCCGACTTGTGGCGCCGGTGTGTGTATCCCGATAGAAAACTATGTTTAGAATTCTAAAATGCATGGCGCTGCGTGGTGCTGCGCGGCGCGCCGCCAAGTGGCGCTTCTGGTGTGCGACCTGCTTTAGATTTCTAACAACATTTGCTTGACTACAAATATATATCATGCCATCTCATGTTTCTTCTATTCTTCTTTAAGGCGTGGAGTATAACGTATGTCAGCTGGCTGACGTTTGTCTTTCTGATCTGGTCCTGTACTCTGTGGATGGTGCGCGACCGGAGGAAATACGCCATGCTGACTTCGCCATTCATGGTGGCTTATGGGAACTTCCTGTTGGTCCTTCAGTATATCTGGTGTTTTGAGAAGTTGAAGCCGGTGTCTGGTTTCTTTGTGAAAATGGAGGTGCCTTTCACTGAACTGAGCACCAAGGTAAAAAATACACCATTCATCACCTGATTGTGCATGCTTGTACATTCCCACTTCAGTCTGTTCTTTAGTCTTGGCCAGATTTGTACTTCAATGTAATAAAAAAAAGGGTGGTTTATTTCCATTCATTTTAAATATAAGGTAATACCTTCATTTTGCATGGATGCATTATTTGATCAAAAGAGTCAGGGAGGAAATTTATAATGTTTTATAAAAATGTTTTATAAAAATATAATAATATAATGTTTTATAAAAAATGTACCTTTAAGGTGCAGTAGGTGATCTGCCTAAAAGCTAACCGCTTAGCATATTATCTTTGAACGGCGGGGAGGGACTGTGATTCAAAGCCACACCCCCTGTCACAACAGCAGACAGACAACCCACTAGTTCATGTCATTCGCCAGTTAGTTAGTGCCAGCGCCGTGCAGGAATTACATTTATTACTTTGCCACACTTACATGCTATTTCAGAGCGAATATTCAGAGTAGCGGTAAACAGTATAGGAAGGCTGTCATTGTTCAAAAATGACCCAATGTGAATATAAAAGCAACTTCAGCTCAATAAAGCAGGTAAGGCGGAATAGCGCTATTTACTGATGTTTTGTTGTTAAACTAAATATAAATCTACATTATAGATGCTGTCAAAGAACCTTATAAACCTGAAAATAATCACATCAATCTTTCACCGGGAGATTTCAGTGGCTGAACAACACGTCTGTGCATATAAGTCATTCATAACAACACAATCTAACATAAAATAGTTTTAAAACAACATTACCTGTCTAACAGTAATACTTCAGCCATGGTGTCGTCTTTCCTCCAGCGTGCTAAAGTGACTCCAATATTGATTCAGGTATTTAAAAGTTTCAATTCAGCATTTGATTTCTCCCGGTCCGTCTCGTGACTGTGCGGCCGCTTTAAGAGCGAATTATACTCGCGCCTGGCTTTACAGTAATCGGCCCGAGCTCGGCTGTCCTTCGGCGCCTCTGGCTCCGACTCAGCATCTGCGAGCGGCCCGCAGCTCGCTCGCGTACATGCGTTTGTGATGCAGACGGGCACGCGCTAATGGCGGATCTGCGTGAACACATGCGCAGAAGTACGAATCTACATTTGCTGACACACAGTCTGACCTGCTTATCGGAATTAAGGGAGATGACGGTCCGACTCTATTTAATTTGATGAACTTTTTTTTTGTTTTATGCTTTACCCAGAATATAAAAATACATATAAACACATTTAGATCATTTACTGTAATCATAACTATTGGACTGTGAAGAGACTTTCAACCAGCACAACAACAAATGTTTCTGAAGACAATCACCTACTGCACCTTTAAATTCTTGGGTAACACTTTAATCTAAGGTGACGTAGTTACACATTCAATGCACTTTATTATTATAACCTTTATTTTACCAGGAAAGACACATTGAGATTAAAAATCTCTTTTACAAGAGCGTCCTGGCCAAGATTAGGCAGTACACGAGTCACATGAGTCCAACGGACAACAAACAAAAAACAATGCACAGTTAACATGAATCACACTGACAGACTATTCAAAACATCTACAAGCCTGTGTTTCAACTTCTAAATCTTTTATAGTCTTTTTAAAAGCATTTAGTGAAATCAAGTCTTTGAACTGCAACTGTGTTTGCAGTTTATTCCAAGCAAAACGTGCTGCGTACTTAAAAGCCTTTTTTTCGCCATCTCAGTCCGCACTATAGGAACAGACAGTAAATAAATATCCTGTGACCGAAGACCATAGTTAAGAACAGGCTTTTTACAAATGTAATTCTGATGGGAGTAAACCCAGTATAGATTTGTAAACAAGGATATGCCAATGCTTGAGCCTACGAATGGACAAAGCAGACCAACCTACTCTAGTATACAGCACACAATAATGAGTAGGGGATATAAAGTTAGTTATAAATCTAAGTGCACCATGGTAAACAGTATCCAATGCATGCAGACTTTGAGAAGAAGCATGCATATAGATTACATCACCGTAGTCCAATGTTGACATGAATGTTCCCTCAACCAGCTTCTTTTTAGCATCAAAGGAAAGGCAGTTCTTAATTCTAAAATAAAAGCCTAAAATTACTTTAAATTTTTTCACCAATTGCTGAATTTGAGTACTAAAAGAAAGTGTATCGTCAATTAAAATTCCAAGATATTTGCACTGGGAAACCAATTCAATCTCTGCACCATGAGTAGTAGCAATAGGACCTAGTTTTTGCTACTTACTACACTCTCTGAAAAAAATGGTACAATGTTGTACCAAAAGAAGGTAGAAAAAACCCTTGTCCCTGGGGCAGTACCTTTTTATGGGACAGACTTGTACCTTAAGACAATTTTTTTTTTTGTACCTTTAAGGACATGATTTGTACCACTTTAAAACCTGCAGATACAATATTGTATCTTGATCAAAGGTACAAATCTGATCCATGAAGGTACCACTAAAGTGACAAGACACTTCGTACCTTAACAGTGTCAAATGTGTTCCTTCAAGAACTATTTAAAGGCATTTTCTATATCCAAATACGTCAATTTTTTTTCAGTAAATAAAAAATTATCAAATATATTTTTAAACAATGTTTTTTTTTAAGTTTCTTTTTTGTTTTTGTGTAAATGCAGCTTTTCCATTTACAATAAAGAATAAAACTACTTTAACATAAATCAAAAGATCTATTTTTTAACAATTTTCACAGAAATGTTACAGAAACACATGCTCCCATGTACAATATAAAACTTTTTTTCTACAAATTTTACACAATACCTTTGTAATCCCTTAAAAGTTCATTTACAGTTTTTCTCAGTCGCTTTGGTGCGCTTCTCACAACACCTAGTGCATTTTTGCGCAACAGTTAATGCTTTTCTTAAAACAATTAGCGCAAACTGCAAAACCTAGCTGATAACCTGCAAAAGCGCGTCACATGCTCAAAATGGATAACTTATTCCTCAAAAGCAAGTATTGATGTCAGTCAAAGTGTCAGTATCATCAAAATGAAAAGTCCTGACACCATTGTTTATGAACAAGATAGTCAAATGGCTTTGTCATGTTTTCATCATTGCAGTTTACTCTGAAAATGTTTTTCCAATGCAAAAAAGTCTGATTTTGGTGACACTTCCTGAAAATGCTCAAGACAGCACTATATTCTATTTGCACAGCCATTTGAAAACTACAGTAAAGTTAGACATCACTGCATTTAGTGAGGTATCTGAGTACAAGACACTGAATATGTATGTTTCACAGTTTTACTGCATTTGTGCATTTGCTCGTTGCAATTCTAATTTATTCACAGCATTGTGCAAAAAAATAAACACACCCTTATTTACAACAAGCATAAGCTTCCTTTGGGTTGAACTGCACAACTGTAAACAATATTGCAGTACATATTGGAACTGAACCTACAACATACACAGGTCTGTAAATCACTTATCAAATTGTTCAATTTTAAAGACATTTTCAGGAAAATAAAGATTTACAGTTTTTCTCAGTCACTTTGGTGCATTTCTCACTACACTATTTACATTTGCACAACAGTTAATGCATTTCTCAAAACAATTAGCACAAACTGCAAAACCTAGCTGATAACCTGCAAAAGCGCGTCACATACACAAAATGGATAGTTCCTTCCTCAAAAGCATGTATTCATGTCAATCAAAGTGTCAGTATCGTCAAAATGAAAAGTCCTGACACCATTGTTTATGAACAAGATAGTCAAAAGGCTTTGTCATGTTTTCATTATGAGTTTACTCTCTACATTTTTTTCCAATGCAAAAAAGTCTGATTTTGGTGACACTTCCTGAAAATGCTCAAGACAGCACTATATACTATTTGCACAGCCATTTGAAAACTACAGTAAAGTTAGACATCACTGGATTTAGTAAGGTATCTGAGTACAAGACACTGAATATGTATGTTTCACGGTTTTACTGCATTTTCTCTTTGCGATTCTAATTTATTTACAGCATTGTGCAAAAGAATAAATACACCCTTATTTACAACAAACACAAACTCCCTTTGGGTTGAACTGTGCACAACTGTAAACAATATTGCAGTACATATCGGAACTGAACCTACAACATACACAGGTCTGTAAATCATTTTCAGACATTTTCAGGAAAATTTTCAAGAAAAGATTTAAATTTGTTTTACAAAATTTGCTTGACAGATTTTGACAACTAGTTCAACATTTTTGTATGTAATGACTCAAGTAATGAAATGAGGACTGTTAGTTTTATATGGAATGACTATTCAGCATTCACAAGTTTAGTTCATTTTGACTGAAATGACATAAGCAAATGATAATGTTATAAACAGCAGAGAGTTGTATGAAAGCAATTGATGCATGTCCAAAGGCATCTGCAGTGTGTTGGAAAGAATGAGAAACTGCTACTAGGATGTGCACAAATGACTAATTGTTTTGAGAAATGCATGACCTGTTGTGCAAATGTAAATAGTGTTGTGAGAAATGCACCAAAGCGACTGAGAAAAACTGTAATTTACTTAATTTTAAAATAGAAATATGATCATGCAAAAGTATTGTAATGAGATATGATCCATTTAGGCGGAAGTAACAAACAACAAACTTTACATATCAGTATTATATCTTCTAAAAGCAAATGTTGTCACTGTTTTGAAGCACACTAGCTTATAGATATCATAAAAACTAAACAGTACAGATGGTAACATCTAAACGAAAACTTTATTTTAATTTCATGGGACCTTTGAATATATTCAAATATAAGATAGGAATTGTAATAATTACTGTTTTTACTGTGTTTACGGTCAAATAAATGAAGCCTTAAGATTAAACTACTGACCACAAATTAGTAATGTGTCATTTATATCTAAATGTTTAGTATTTTACATTAGTTTTTTTTATTAATATACAACTATATGGTAGTTATGACTTCATAAACATACTCTCTCTGTAAAAGAACTGCATGTAACATGATTTATGTATTAATTTCAGCCCTTTGTTCTGGTTCGTGCCATTGTGTGTGCTTGCAGGTTCTGTGTCAGCTGAGTTTCTGGCTACTGCTCAGACAAACTTTAATGGAGAGACAAGAAAGGAAGGAAGAAGAAGCAGCACTTTCTGACATCAAAGTAGACGAGCAGAAAAAAGGTGATTTATTTATTAGAGTCTACAACAGGTGCTACATACAAATGAACACCGTGTCCTGACTACACGCGACACATGAGACATCTTCCATGTTTTTCAGTTTTCATAATCTGTTTTGTTTTTCCATTTTCTATAATCAGAGATTTGTTCTAACCAGCTGCAATAACCACAAGCAAAGTGTGTATTTTAGAAAGGCTCATACACACCACGATGCTTTTTGCTCTCGATTATCGTTAGCATTTTTTTAGAGGTTTTTTCGCTTCACAGTTTTTGACAGCTGATAGGTGTAATGAATGCACAAATAACATTTGGTGCTTAATCAGCTTGTAAGTCATGAAAGAAAAAGTAATAAGTAATAACTCCCATTATCAACACAGGCTGATTGTGAAAACGTACCCCTATATACATTTTTGGAGAATGCAAATTATGTAGCCAGAGCTACGTATGGCTGCATTTCATCTTTAAAACAAACGCTGGGGGGGGGGGGGGGGTGGTATGATGCTGCTGTTTCTTTTTGTGCTACCAGCTAACTGCTTATCTCTGTGTGGATGGCTTTTCTGCTGATACCAGTTTGTCCAATAGCTCGCCGTGTATGTCAGTGGACTTGAGACACAGAGAGGTGGGCAGTGGGCGCTGGTCAATCGGTGCTTTTGAAAACACTGTCGGTTGGGTTTAGGGAAGGGAAAGATGGGTCAATCTGTGCTTTTTAAAACACTGTCGGTTGGGTTTAGGGAAGGTGATGGGCGGGTCAATCGATGCTTTTGACTACACTATCAGTTGAGTTTAGGGAAGGCAGTGGGTGGGTCAATTGGAGCTTTTGAAAACACTGTCAGTTGGGTTTAGGGAAGGCGGTAGGTGGGTCAATCGATGCTTTTGACAACACTATCGGTTAAGTTTAGGGAAGGCAGTGGGTGGGTCAATCGGTGCTTTTGAAAACACTGTTGGTTGGGTCTAGGGAAGGTGGTGGATGGTTCAATCGATGCTTTTGAAAACTCTGTCTGTTGGGTTTAGGGAAGGCAGTGGGCGGGTCAATCGGTGCTTTTGAAAGCACTATCGGTTGGGTTTAGGGAAGGTGGTGGGCGGGTCAATCGGTGCTTTTGACAACACTGTTGGTTGGGTTTAGGGAAGGGAAAGATGGGTCAATCGATGCTTTTAAAAACACTGTCAGTTAGGTTTAGGAAAGGCGGTGGGCGGGTCAATTGGGGCTTATGAAAACACTGTCGGTTGGGTTTAGGGAAGGCGGTGGGCGGGTCAATTGGAGCTTTTGAAAACACTGTCAGTTGGGTTTAGGGAAGGCAGTATGTGGGTCAATCGATGCTTTTGACAACACTATCGATTGAGTTTAGGGAAGGCAGTGGGTGGGTCAATCGGTGCTTTTGACAACACTATCGGTTGAGCTTAAGGAAGGTGGTGTATGAGTCAATCTGTGCTTTTGAAAACTCTGTCGGTTGGGTCTAGGGAAGGTGGTGGATGGGTCAGTTGGTGCCTATGAAAACTCTGTCGGTTGGGTTTAGGGAAGGCAGTGGGCGGGTCAATCGGTGCTTTTGAAAGCACTATCGGTTGGGTTTAGGGAAGGTGGTGGGCGGGTCAATCGATGCTTTCGAAAACACTGTCAGTTGGGTTTAGGGAAGACGGTGGGCGGGTCAATTGGGGCTTATGAAAACACTGTTGGTTGGGTTTAGGGAAGGTGGTAGGTGGGTCAATCAATGCTTTTGACAATACTATCGGTTGAGTTTAGGGAAGGCGGTGGGTGGGTCAATCGATGCTTTTGACAACACTATCGGTTGAGTTTAGGGAAGGCAGTGGGTGGGTCAATCGGTGCTTTTGAAAACACTGTCAGTTGGGTCTAGGGAAGGTGGTGAATGGGTCAATTGATGCTTATGAAAACTCTGTCAGTTGGGTTTAGGGAAGGCAGTGGGTGGGTCAATCGGTGCTTTTGAAAGCACTATAGGTTGGGTTTAGGGAAGGCAGTAGGTGGGTCAATTGGAGCTTTTGAAAACACTGTCGGTTGGGTTTAGGGAAGGTGGTGATTGGGTCAATCTGTGCTTTTGAAAACATTGTCGCTTGGGTTTAGGGAAGGTGGTGGGCCGGTCAGTCTGTGCTTTTGACAACACTATTGGTTGGGCTTAGAGAAGGGGGTGGGTGAGGAAATAGTTTGATCAGTCAGTAAATCAGTTAGTCAGACAACAGCGGCCTCTGGTGGATTTATGTGAAAACAGCAGGCGCAAATGGCACCTGCTAGAGAAATTTGAGATTTGAAAAAGCGTACACAGCAGCTTCTGGTGGATTTGCAAAAACAAAAACTGCAACAAAAAAAACTTACCTCCTGGGACCTATTTCACGATCTCCAGAAATGTTTATAGGGGTAAGTATCAATAATGAGCCTGGGTTACCCATTATTGCAGTTTTGATTGTTTATTATACAGTAATATAAGTAGAATTACACTTTCACACCCCCTTTTTTGGGCATTAGTGTGCATTACATTGGCACCCTTTAAGTCATGAGGCGAGTTTTTATAGCCTTTTATTAAAAAAGATTCATTTTGGTTTGTTTTGACATAATAAATGTGTCTGTATTAAATATATTTATTATGTATATGTGATACACTAATGAAAAATAAAAAATGCACATTTCAAAGCACTTCATGGAATCTTTAAGAAATAGAAATAACTTTCAATATGTGTTTTAGTGGAAGAAAAAAGTGAAGAGGAAGTGGATGAGAACGACCTGATGCAAGTGCTGGGCAAGCTGGTGATGGCTCTGCTGGTCAAATACTGGATCTACGTCTGTGGAGGAATGTTCTTCTTCGTCAGTTTTGAGGGAGATATGGCGACATATAAGATCATCTACATGATGATGCTGCTGTCCTGCGTCGCTCTTTACCAGGTCCACAATGCTCCTCAGTTATATTTCCTTCCTTGCATTATTTTATCAATTTTTTTGGGATAAAAAAAAAAAGATGAAGCCTGTTTTGTTGTAAACGATGCTAGTGATTTTGTTCTCTTCAGGTACATTATGAATACTGGCGCAGGATCCTGAAGTATTTCTGGATGTCTGTGGTGGTTTACACTATGCTGGTGCTCATCCTGATCTACACCAGCCAGTTTGAGGATGGCATCCCGACCTGGACCAGGATGACCGGCCTGGACAAAGATGTGTAAGTTTTGATGCAGACCTATTGACTCTATTATTCACATACAAGCAGGAGCAGCCATTGGCATTTTTTTGGCTGGAGACTTCCAGTCTCATTTACTTCCATTGATTTGTAGACGTTTCAAGCAGCTCGTTATTCTGCTTGTTGTTGTAAACTTATATTTTCTTATTGTATTATTTAACTTTTTATGTATAGTCTTGAGACTTGTTTGTAGAACTTAATCTCTTGTATGTGTGTTTGGGTCAGACTGAAGGATATCGGTCTGGAGAAGTTCAGCCTCTCTAATTTGTTCACGCGTATCTTCATCCCGACGTCTTTCCTGTTGGTGTGTATCCTGCATCTGCACTACTTCCATGACCATTTTCTGGAGCTGACTGATCTGAAAGCCGTGGTCAGCAAACAGGAGAGCACCATTTACAGGTGAGAGAGAGGAAGAGGAGCTTTTAGGTGAGGTGTAATATGTAATATCTATCTGTCTGTTTGTCTGTCTGACTGTATGTCTGACAGTATGGACTGTATTTTAGGACAGTATGGAAAACTCAAATAAAAAAGAAAGAAGTGATTTTTAAATTGACCTGTATTTCATAGCAGACAAAATAAACACAACGTATTTCTTCTTTTATCTGCTCAACTTAAATTTAAAAAATGTAAATATAAATCCCTTCCTGTCATTCAGACCTGCAACACATTCCAAAACAAGTTGGGAGAGGAGAAGTTTGGGGCTGGTAATCGGGTCAATGGGTGAAATAAGGATGTGATTTAAAACAGGTGATGTCAACAGGTGATTGTAATTATGATCTGGTACACAAGCAGCATCCAGGAAAGTTCTAGACCTTTAGGAGCAAAGATGGGCTGTGGATCTCCAGTTTGTCAACAAATACAGAAGAAAATTGTTGAAATATTTGAAAACAATGTTCCTCAAAGAAAGAGAGGAAGACATTTGGATATTTTACCTTCAACAGAGCAGAACATCATTAAAAGATTCAAGGAATCTGGAGGAATTACAGTGTGTAAAGGACAAGAGTTCAAGCTGAACAACCGTAATCTCCGATCCGTCAGGCGGCACTGCATCAAGAATCCTAATCTATCTATAAGCGATAACACCACATGGGCTCAGGACTACTTTTGGAAACTTTTATCAAGTACCACAATACATAGTTACTTCCACAAATACCAGTGAAAACTGTGCTGTGCCAAAGAGAAGCCCTATGTTAACAGTGTCCAGAAGCACCTTTGACTTCTCTGGGCTCTGAGGCATCTGGGAAGGACCATCACACAGTGGAAACATGTAATGTGGTACGATGTTGGGGAGAAATGTATATGCGCTCTGGACCAAAGAAGAAAAGGATGATCCAGACTGTTACCAGCAACCAGTCCAAAAGCAGGGATCTGTTATGGTTTGAGGTTCTGTCAGTGCCCTTGGCAAAGGTAACTTGCACTTCTGTAATGCATCATTAATGCTGAAAGTTTAATGCTGAGTTTTTAAAGCACAATATGCTGCCTTCTTTTCCACCAATGCATATTTCAACAAGACAATGCAAAATCACATTCTGCACACATTACAAACGTCCTGCCGGCGAAGAAAGAGGATACAGATACTTGACTGGCCTGTTTGCAGTCCAGACCTGTCTCCAATAGAGAATGTGTGGCACATTTTGAAGAGCAATATGCGCCAATGAAAACCCCATACATGTCAGGGTTCTGCCCCTCTGGTCTTGTAAATTCTTGTTTTGGTGGCAGAGCTCGGACACTACCAATGTCTGGTCCTGTTTCTGTCTCTGTGTGCGCGCGCGGCGTCGTGGGTGTACGCAGAGTGTGCGCGCTCCTGCTTGACGCGGCTGCGCGCGCGCTCTGCGTCCCTCAGACGCGTGCGCTCTTGTACTCGTGTTTGTGTTTTCGTCTGTCAGCAGCGTGGTGTTTCATTCCCAGCGTCTCAGTCTTGTTGGTTTCGGTTTTGGTCGGCGCTGGGATGAAGCATGCACGCTGCGTGTGTGAGCGCACGGTGAGTGTTTTCATTCATCGTGTGCTCGTGTCTTGCGTCTTTTGTCAAAGCACGTGGCTCGGTGTTTACATTGTGGTCACATGCTTTTGACGTGTGCTTCAGTGTGTTGTTATGTGAGCGCATGGCTTGTATTGTCTCTCTGTGTCATGCGCTCTCCCGTCTATTGTCTAGTCCCACCCTCCTTGTTTACTCATTATTAGTTTGTCATGTTCACCTGTGTGTCAATTTACTTTTTGCTTTATAATCCCCCTCATGTTTTCAGTCCTTTGCCAGTTCGTTGTCTACACTCCCCGTGTTCCTGTTCCAGTCTTGCCTTGCCTTGTCTTGTCAGCCCAGCCAAGTTTGTGTGTTTTGTTAATGTTTTCCCCCTCGGGGTAGTTTTTGTTTTGCCTTTTATTTTTATTTTATTATAATAAACACCCATTATTTGCTGCACCTGAGTCCTCGCTCCTTTTCCTCTCACCCGACCGTGACAATACAGTTGCCCACTTTAAGACTTATTTGCAGGAAGAATGGGACAAAATTACACCTGAAACACTTCATCACTTGTTGTCTTCAGTCCCTAAGGGAAGTTTATTTATAAACCAATTTTGAGAGGATCACGTGATTATGATTAAACATGGCTGGATGTGCATTAACTATGTATGATCCACCAATCGGATGATTCCTAACCCACTATAAAGAGCCGGGGTTTCTCACTACAGTCGTCTTCACTTTGAAGAATCACCCCTTCCACCCCTACTCCTCCACCTTTCCCTTCATATGGCGGCACGGTGGCCCAGTAATTAACACTGTTGCCTCACAGCAAGAACAGCACTGGTTATAGTCCTTTAACAGGCTGGCTGTCATTTCTGTGCGAAGTTAAAATGTTTTTCTCGTGCTAGCATGGGTTTTCCCAGAGTTCTCTGGTTTCCTACCACATTCCAAAAACATGTACTACAAGTTAATTGATCAATCGTAATTTAGCACTATAGTCAAACTCTCAGGCCCCGTTTACACTAGTGCGTTTTAGTTTTAAAACGGCGTTTTAGAATGAAAACGATCCGCGTCCACACTCGCGTTTTACCTAGCGTTTCTGAACTGCTCTCCGTCCACACCAAAACGCTGAAAACGCACATCACGTGACCACACACACACTCTTTGGCAAGCGCTGCGCCCATCAACCCAGATGAGAGCTCTGCTAGTCAGACTTCTCATCAAGCATCTCCCGCTGGATCTAATCTCACTATATTTATTAAACGGGATATTTCATTCATCTTGTTGTCTTTATCTAACGACATATTCCCTGACTTTGGTCATTGGAATCTATTACTTGTTCTCAGGTAACGTGTTTTGACTGAGCGCAGATAAGTTAATGATTAATGTAAGCACGTACATTCTGTATATTGACTGATCGCTTGCCTTTATTTCCTATAATGTATAAACTTATTGTATGTTAAACTTTTATAATGGCCATTATCGATTATTAAAACTGATATTCAGCAAAAGATAGGGGATGTTTCGTATTTTCACTGAAATTGAAAGGCAACAGTTGTTATTGGCTCCGTTTTGTTATAGAAGATGACGCTCATGCAGCACCACAGTGAAGATGACGCTCATGCAGCACGACGCCTCAACATTTCTGCTGTCTGTTTAGTTGTTAATATTAAAATGAAAATAGGCAGTTCCTTAAAGAGCCCATATTATACATGAAATAGGGTCATATCTTGGTTGTAAGGGTCTCCAACAACAGTTTAATATGCATGCAAGGTCAAAAAAACACTTTTATGGTCTTATAATCTGCATTTATTTTTACCTAAATATTCCAGCGACTCCTGTATGAATCGTCCAGTGATTCATTTGTTCCCAAACCTCTCCTTAGCGCGAAGCTAATCTGCGCTGATTGGACCAATGACAGTCTGTTGCGATTGGTCGACTGCCTTCAGTCAGGGAGTGAAATGCCAAACAGCTAATCAGCAATATAAAAGTAATCACAGTTCATACACGCTCGATAGTGTAGGCGTGGATTTTAGCTGCCAGTGGGTCAATGTAAATACAGACTATGGACTTGAAAATTCAGACGACTGACTATTTTATTGAGCAAAAACTCCAAAAGCAGTTGAGGAGATCTCCTAGCTTCTCACTCTGCTCTTTTCACAGACACACACACACATATTGCACGCACTTAACCCTGCTCCGGACGACAACGCGCGCGCACACACACACACACACACACACAAACACACACACCTCCGGACGACAGTGCGCGCACATGCACACACAGACACACACACTTCTCGTCCACGGAGCTCCGTTAACAAAGCAGCACGCGTCGCGTTTTTAACGTGACTTTGCACGCGATAAGAGAATATAGCCAGTTAACCTGATACAGTACACGCGGTTACAAGTAACAAATCACAACTAAATACATTTGCAAGCTAGAGTCAACGAGGCAACTTTAATCGGACGTACTTACACTTGAGAAATGGAGGAAGAAAAATCCATCCTGACGTCCAGCAGTCAGTTACTCTTTACTGATCCTTCCTTTAACAAACGCTGATGAAGTATTCTTTGTAGCATGTAGTTTCCAGAAGTTTCCAGTAGTTTCCAACTGCTTGGCTATAATGCTGAGGTTTCATCTTTGGGTAGAGACTCAATATATCCATCTGCAGTGTGACTTCAATCGACCGGCATGTTTGTGTGTGTGTGTGTGTGTGTGCGTGCGTGTGTTTGTGGGTGTGTGTGTGTGTGTCTGGGTTTCTGCGTCAGAGGGCGGGGCCTCAGGTTTGAAATCTCCCGGGTTTGCGCGTGCACGTGAATAACTTGGTTTCGTTCGTACGTCATGGCGAAACACCTAATGAATCGGTATCAAGGCGACTCGTTTGAAGCACTATGAGTCGACTCTTTTATAGATGAATCAACAGTTTTAAACACTGTACTTTTACAGATTTAAGCCTTAGCTGGATGCTTTACTTCGCTTAGAGCTGTGTTACACACTACATGGAGGGGAATTTTCAAAAACCCATAATATGGGCTCTTTAAATCATGTTTTCATTTTATTGTTGAGAAAGTGAAACAACGTAGCCAGGGTGATGTGAATGATGTTATAAAGTACACTGTTCCCTTTGAAGATTTACCCGTGTCCTCGGTATAGTCTGTTTTCCATATCAAACTGAAAAGAAGAGACTGCAGCCTTGATCAAACTTGCAAAGTCTGAACTTACACGGAGAAGATGTGGGACTGAACTGTTTGTAGGCTACATAATATTGAGGAAAAGCCCCAATCAGAGAGGCGAATGTCGGCAGCCCCGCCTCCATTTTTTAGATGTCTCCGTTTTCCATCATTCACACTGAGACGGAGCAGCAGCGTTTCAGAATGAAAACGGCCTCTCCAGCGTTTTCGAAACGCTCCGTTTTCGGCGCTCGAGAACTCCGGCGTAGTGTGGACGGATGGCGTAACCGCAGCAAAACTTATGCGTTTTCAAACTAAAACGCATTAGTGTAAACGGGGCCTCATTCATCAGCATATCTCTTCATAGCAATCATTTTCTGTCATCAGCTCTTATCAAAAAGGGGAGTTCTCGAGATCTACCTAAGCTCAAAGCTCCCCTCTCGCCTTGCAAATGGTAGGGAGCCCAGGGCTCAAGGACCTTTTGAGCTTAGGGCTCTCTCCCGGGACAGCATGCCAAACTTGCTTGTAATCAATCATCAGCTAAGTGTGAACTCTTGAATCGTCTTTTCAAGAGTTCACACTTAGATATTGTTTGACAACTGTTAGCAGGTTTGGCATGCTGTCCTGGGAGAGAACACTAAGGCCCCGTTTACACTAGTGCGTTTTAGTTTTAAAACGGCGTTGTAGAATGAAAACGATCCGCGTCCACACTCGCGTTTTACCCAGCGTTTCTGAACTGCTCTCCGTCCACACCAAAACGCTGAAAACGCACATCACGTGACCACACACACACTCTCGGGCAAGCGCTCCAGCATTTCTACCCAGATGAGAGCTCTGCTTGTCGGACTGCTCATCACGCATCTCCCGCTGGATCTAATCTCACTATATTTGCTAAACGTGATATTTCATTCATCTTGTTGTCTTTATCTAACGACATAGGCCAATTCCCTGACTTTGGTCATTGGAATCTATTAAGTTACTTGTTCACGGGTAACATGTTTTGGTTAAGCGCAAAGATAAGTTAATGATTAATCCAGGTACATTGACTGATCGCTTGCCTTTATTTTCTACAATGTATAAACTTATTGTATGTTATACTTTTATAATTATCGATTATTAAAACTGATATTCAGCAAAAGAGAGGGTGCGTTTCGTATTTTCACTGAAATTGAAAGGAGGCAGTTGTTATCGGCTCCGTTTTGTTATAAATATCCACACAGTGAAGATAACGCCCATATATGCAGCACGACGCCTCAACATTTCTGCTGTCTGTTAAGTTGCTAATATTAAAAAGAAAATGGGCAGTTCCTTAAATCATGTTTACATTGTTGAGAAAGTGAAACAACGTAGCCAAGGTGATGTGAATGAAATTATAAAGTACACTGTTCCCTTTGAAGATTTACCCGTGTCCTCTGTATGTTTTCTATATCAAACTGAGAAGGGGGAGACTGCAGCCTTGATCAAACTTGCGAAGTCTTAATAACTTACAAGAAGAGGATGCGAGACTGAACTGTGTGTGGGCTACTTAATATTGAGGAAAAGCCCCAATCAGATAGGCGAACGTTTGCAGCCCCGCCTCCGTTTTCAGATGTCTCCGTCTTTCCCTATCCACACTGAGACGGAGCAGCAGCGTTTTAGAATGAAAACGGCCTTTCCAGCGTTTTCAAAAAGCTCAGTTTTCGGCGCTCGAGAACTCCGGCGTAGTGTGGACGGATGGCGTAACCGTAGCAAAACTTATGCGTTTTCAAACTAAAACGCATTAGTGTAAACGGGGCCTAAGCTCGGAGATAGTTGAGCCCAGGGCTCCCGCCAGGTCCATAGAGCATATGAGGGGAGTACGAGATCAGGTGGTTCTCGAGAGCTCCCTGGTGGTAAAGGAGAAGAAGGGGTGAATGGGGGGTTTCTTCGGAAAACGAAGATATGGGAGTAGTTCTAGCTAGGCTACTTATAGTGAGTTTGGATTAATCTGATTGGCTAACTAATGAATGTAGATGGGTGGCCAGCTGCAGTCAATCATATCACGTGCTGCTCTCGAAATTAGTTTGTGAAACTTCACTTAAGTGTTGTGATTGTTAAAAGGAATGGCAATGTTACAATGCTTTACTGTTGCACCTTTTTTTGAAGTGCGCTGCAAGAGCCAAAATTAATATACGCGTTTATTTAAAAAATAAATCATGAGGAACACATTTAATAATTATTGTCTGCAATTAAACACAAGTCTAAGTAAATTTAGAAAACACTTCTTTCTTTTTTTTAAATTGCTTTTTCCATACTGTCCCAACTTTTTTCTTTTTGGGGTTGTACATAAAATACATACAATTGTGTTTATTGTTAGCTCTTGCATCGTTGATATAAAAATTAATTGCAGTGTAATATTTTACATGTATACCATTTTGCAGTTGTTGTAATTTTCTTGTAACCCTGACATTGTGCCCTCATTTGTTACATTCCTGAATCAGTTTTTTATTTCTCATTTCTCAGTCATGCGTATTCATTTCTTTAATCATCCTTTTTGTCTGTTCATCCATGTTAAGCACATTTGACTACATTGATCTCCATTATAAAAAGCGCTCTTGAAATAAAGATGACTTGACATGATCCAGAGATTCTGCCAGTCATCTTTAAGAGTTCAGATCCTCTTCTTGTGTTAATCATGTGCTCACATCTTTCCCCCTGCCATCCTCATGTCACAGCTATGCTAAAGTCAGTGGTCGTATCTATCTGATCGTGGATAGGTGGGTGACTGCTTGTCTTTCTCTGGCATCCATGGAAAATCGCAACCAATGTTCGACCTCTCCCTCATCATCCCACAATCCCTCTCTATCTCTCTCTTCTTACTAATCCTGTCTGCCAGTGAACTGTTTTCTCACCTTGACACTTTTCTAACACCTTTTCTGCACCAATAGATTCCTGGATAGATCAGTAAACATCATCCACTGACTTCTTTCCTGTCTATAACTGTATTAAATGTTACAGAAGTCAACATGAAGCATCGTTTTATTTCTGTAAACTTATTTAACCGTGAGAGCTGATGGACTGGGGTGTTCGTTATTATTGATTTACATATTTATTATTATTTACTACATATGTTAATAGACAGAAATAGATTAAATGCTAAATATGGTCATTTTTCCATCCATCCATCCATCGTTCTATCTATCTATCTATCTATCTATCTATCTATCTATCTATCTATCTATCTATCTATCTATCTATCTATCTATCTATCTATCTATCTGTCTGTCTGTCTGTCTGTCTGTCTGTCTGTCTGTCTGTCTGTCTGTCTGTCTGTCTGTCTGTCTGTCTGTCTGTCTGTCTGTCTGTCTGTCTGTCTGTCTGTCTGTCTGTCTGTCTGTCTGTCCTTTGTTCTTTCCATCCATCCATCCATCCATCCATCCTTTGTTCATTTCATCCATCTATCCATCCATCCATCCATCCATCCATCCATCCATCCATCCATCCATCCACCAACCTACCTATCTACCTACCTATCTATTTATCTATGGTTCCATCCATTCATCTATCCATCCACCCACCTATCTATCTATCTATCTATCTATCTATCTATCTATCTATCTATCTATCTATCTATCTATCTATCTATCTATCTATCTATCTATCTATCTATCTATCTATCTATCTATCTATCTATCTATCTATCTATCTATCTATCTATCTATCTATCTATCTATCTGTCTGTCTGTCTGTCTGTCTGTCTGTCTGTCTGTCTGTCTGTCTGTCTATCTGTCTATCTATCTATCTATCTATCTATCTATCTGTCTATCTGTCTGTCTGTCTGTCTGTCTGTCCTTTCCATCCATCCATCCATCCATCCATCCATCCATCCATCCATCCTTTGTTCTTTCCATCCATCCATCCATCATCCTTTGTTCTTTTCATCCATCTATCCATCCATCCATCCATCCATCCATCCATCCATCCATCCATCCATCCATCCACCTACCTATCTACCTATCTATTTATCAATGGTTCCATCGATCCATCCATCCATCCATCCATCCATCCATCCATCCATCCATCCATCCTTCAGTCCATCTATCCATCCATCCATCCATCCATCCATCCATCCACCTACCTACCTACCTACCTATCTATTTATCTATGGTTCCATCCATCCATCCATCCATCCATCCATCCATCCATCCATCCATCCATCCATCCTTTGTTCTTTCCATCCATCCACCTATCTATCCATCCATCCATCCATCCACCTACCTACCTACCTACCTACCCATCCATCCATCCATCCCTCCATACATCCATCCATCCATCCACCTACCTACCTTCCTACCTACCTACCCATCCATCCATCCATCCATCCATCCATCCATCCATCCATCCATCCATCCATCCATCCATCCATCCATCCTTCAAAATAGCCATAAATAGATAGATTAATATGCTAAATAGGAGCAGTTTTGATGTTTTCATGTTGACTTTAAATCTCTGCCTGCTCAAATAATAATAATCACTGATAAATTCCCTCACACATGATGCCCTGAAAACAAATGTTAGCATCTTTTCCTTCAGCATGTCTCTGAAATGCACGGCCCCTTCATTCCTCAAAGCATCTCTAAATCTCTTCTCCACCTCATCCTGTCATTCTTACACTGTACTACTGTAAAGTGTCCACTGTTTTCTTGATTTGATTTCCCTGTTTCCATTCTGTAACCTACTTCAACAGCATCAAGCAAAAAATATCTTCTTCTCAGAGCAAGTAAGTGTGGTAAAAACATGGTTAAGCTTTTGACATGAAACCTCACCATGCAAGCATTTGATTGCTCAAGATCTTCTGGACGAGACTAAAGCCACTAAAGACTGCTGAAATATTCATTTGTTTTTTTTTTTTATGATCACATTGATTGATTGTATGGCAGACACATGCATTGCTTCTGACACTGTAATGCAATAATGCACACGGCATCTATATTTACACCCAAACCCTGCCTGTGGAGTCCTGACTCGAGGTTTAAGCTGGTCTTAAGGCACTAACTTTTAAAATGACCCAGATAGTTGTTTAACCCAAACTAAACTAACTTGATCAGCATGTGATCTGCATTCTCAGGAATATATATGGGTGATTCATCAATTAAAGGAACTTTTTTTATTCTCATTTGTTGACTCCCTAAATTATAAAAATGTATTGCTGCCTACAATTTTTGATCAAGGGAACTTTTATAGTCAACTCAACATCAGTCAAAACTCACAACAACAAAAAAATGTCCTGAATCCTGATTAATCCTGAATCCTGATTAACTCATTAGTTTTCATATCATCTTTTGCGGCGTACATGCTTACGTTTTTAATTGCATTTTAGTTTTGGATCTAGTTTCACATTTTTACAAACATGTAGCTTTTTTTAGGATATCGTTTGATTTATTTATTTTTTTTTGTTTAATTGTATTTTAATTTATTATTGGTTAGTATTTAAGATAATGTTTTACTTTTTTGGGGGATTTTAATTAATGTAAATTTTCTATGAATTGAACTCATTTAACTTTGTTTTATCAAATTTTATTTTAATATTTGTAATTATTTGAGGTTATATTTATTAATTTATTTTTTCATCAAATTTTATTTAAATTTTGTTTTTATGTTTGACATTTTTCTTCATTTTTTTATCTTTTAAATTTTAATTAAATGTTAATTTTGTAAGAATTTAAAATAATTTTATTTAATTAGATTTTTTTTAGAATTTAGTTTATTATTGCTCAATATTTGAAGTTTTTTTTATTATTTTTTATTTCTTGAATTTTAATTGATGTTGATTTTGTGAGAATTAAAAAAATACAATCTCATTTAATACATTTTTATCATATTTTATTATATTAGTGGTTAGTATTTGATATTTATTTAATAACTCTTGTAGCCTTTGGAGTTTTCATTAATGTCAATTTTAAAATAATTAAAAATAATTCTTTATAATTTTATTTAAGTTTAATTTATAATATTTTATTTTATTATTGGTTAGAATTTGAGATTTTATTTATTCATTTGTGTTACTTTTTGAATTCTTTTTTAATATTTAAAAATATTATTAAAGTTATATTAATTCTATTTATTTTATCATTTTATTTGAATTTTGTTTCATATTTGAGATTTCTTTATTTTTTTACTTATTTAATTTCTTAGATGTTATTTTAGTAAGAATTTAAAAAATGTTTAGAATAGTATTAATTTTCATTTTTCATATTTAATTTATTATTGTTTAATATTTAAAGTTTTTTTTTACTTTCTTGAATTTTAATTAATGTTAATTTTGTAGGAATAGAAAAATATCTCATTTAATTTATTTTTTATCATATTTTACTATATTATTGGTTAGTATTTTATATTTATTTAATAATTATTGTTGCTGTTTGAATTTTTTTAGTAATGCTTATTTTGTAAGTATTCTAAATTCTTTATAAGTTTATTTGATAAAATTTTGTCATATTTAGTTTTATTATTGGTTAGTATTTGTTTTATTTATTTCTTACCATTGAGAATTTTAATTGATGCTAATTTTGTGAAAATTCAAAATAATGTTTTATAATGTAATTTAATTTTATCTTGTTTAATTTCAACATAGTTTGATCTTTAATATTTTTTTCTATCTTCTTTTTAATTTTATTTAATGATAATTCTGTAGGAATTCAAAATATGTTTATAACCTCTCTAAAAAGTCTCTCTAATTGAAGAATCACTCATATTTCACAATAGGGCTGCACAATATATCTATTTAATATCAATATTGGAATATGTTCATTCACAATAGTCACATCGCAGGATATAATTTACCATCCGCATGTGTTTTTCAGGCCTGTGACTGTATGATTATTTTAAAAGCATTCAGGCGTTTGTAACTTTAATAACGATTCATTTTATAGTATCGTTTTTATGTACCTGAAATCGTTGATTTCAATTATAATTTTTTCGTTTATTGTCCTCATCTATTCTTGTAGATTAGATTTATTATATCGTATGCATCAATCTAACATTATTAATTCTTTCCAAACTTTCCAAACTGAAATTGTATTCGCAATATACAGCTGAAGTCAAAATTATTGTATTATTAAAGGCATAATTAGGCAGAAAAGTTAGGCAAATCATTTTTGTTTAACAGTGGTTTGTTCTGTGTAGACAATCTGACATATAATATTGCTTATGGGGATAATATTATTGACCTTAAAATTACGTTAAAAAAATTAAAAGCTGCTTTTATTCTAGTTGAAAAAAAACAAATCAGACTTTCTCCAGAAGAAAAAAAAATTAGGAAATACTGTGAAAATTTCTTGCTCTGTTAAACATCATTTGGGACATTAATGAATTAACAGGAGGGTTAATAATTCTGACTTCAACTGTTTATCAAAATATCACAATGTTAGATTTTCCCAGTATCGTGCAGCCCTATGTCACACTGATGTAAATGGTCAATACAGCGAGTGTTTTGTCTAATGCATTGTTCCCGTTCTCCAGATTGGCTCATCCCGATGGGAGTTTGGCGGATCTGACCATTGTGAGCTCGTCTCCGGAGCCGCTGCTGAAGGATGAGAAGGAAAAAGAGTCTCTGAATGAGGTGCTGGTGGTGGATTGTGTGGGGGAAGAGAAGAAGAAAGACTCTTTATCCATTTATTCGGCTCAAATGTCCAGTCAGGAGGACGTTCATCAGTCCAGTGCTGCCACAGACCCTGAACTGCCTTCAGAACAAAGCTCAGGTACTGTAATGCCTAACATAGCTGCCAGAGTTTTTATCATAAGTTCTACAGATTCTTTTCTACAGTGCAGTCCCAAATTATGTATTTTATGTTGTATTATATATATTATTATTTATAAATATATTTATATTTTATAATATTCATTCAGTAATTTTCACAGTATGTCTGATAATAGTTTTTCTTCTGGAGAAAGTCTTATTTGTTTTGTTTTAGCTAGAATAAAAGCAGTTTTAATTTTTTTAAAGGCAATTTTAAGGACAAAAATAATAGCCGCTTTAAGCTATATATTTTTTATAGTCTACAGAACAAACCATCGTTATACAATAAATTTCCATGAACCTGTCTATTTAACCTAATTAACCTAGTTAAACCTTTAAATGTCACTTTAAGCAGCATAGAAGTTTGTGTGTGTGTGTGTGTGTGTGTGTGTGTGTGTGTGTGTGTGTGTGTGTGTGTGTGTGTGTGTGTGTGTGTGTGTGTGTGTGTGTGTGTGTGTGTGTGTGTGTGTGTGTGTGTGTGTGTGTGTGTGTGTGTGTGTGTGCGTGCGTGCGTGCGTGCGTGCGTGCGTGCGTGCGTGCGTGCGTGCGTGCGTGCGTGCGTGCGTGTGTGCGTGTGTGTGTGTGTTTGTGTGTGTTTATTTATTTTGATTAATTTCATATTAGTTTTTACATTTAGTTTATTGAATTGTATTTAATTTAATGTAAATTTTACTTCATTTTTATTTTGTTTATTTGTTTTATTTGATTTTTTAAATTTTATTTAGTTGAGTTTTATTTTTATTTATTTTAATTTAATTTAATTTATTTTTTATTCATACATTTTTATATATAAACATTTTTTTATTTTGAAATTAATTTTTTATTTTAATTTTGTTTATTTATTTTAATTGAATATAATTTTATTTTGGGGCGAGGCAGTGGCGCAATAGGTAGTGCTGTCGCCTCACAGCAAGAAGGTCGCTGGTTCGAACCTCAGCTCAGTTGGCGTTTCTGTGTCGAGTTTGCATGTTCTCCCTGCCTTCGCGTGGGTTTCCTCCAGGTGCTCCGGTTTCCCCCACAGTCCAAAGACATGCGGCACAGGTGAATTGGGTAGGCTAAATTGTCCGTAGTGTATGAGTGTGTGTGAATGTGTGTGTGGATGTTTCCCAGAGATGGGTTGCGGCTGGAAGGGCATCCGCTGCATAAAAACTTGCTGGATAAGTTGGTGGTTCATTCCGCTGTGGCAACCCCAGAATAATAAAAGGGACTAAGCCGACAAGAAAATGAATGAACAAATTAATTTATTTTATTTTGAACTGCCATCAGTACAAAGCTTGGGTATTGTAATACATAGTAATAATAATTTCAGTACAGCGTTAAGGGTGTACCCACTAGGCTGGTTTTATACATAGATTTAGTTAGTTTTATTTAGTTTACTTTATTTATTCATTTTCTTTTGCCTTTCCAACTGCAACCCATCACTGGAAAACATCCACAAACACACACACACTCAAACACTAGGCCAATTTAGCTTACCCAATTCACCTATACCACATGTTTTTGGACTTGAGGGAAACCAGAACACCTGGAGGAAACCCACGCCAACACGAGGAGAACATGCAAACTCCACACAGAAATTCTAACTGACCCAGCCGAACCAGCGACCTTCTTGCTGTGAGGCGAACGTGCTAGCCATTGCGCCACCGTGCTACCCTAGTTTACTTTAATTTGAATTTTATTTTATTGCGTAGTGATAATCCTTCCAGTACACCACTGAGTTTAGTATGCTTAAAGGCCCGGATTGGCTAATCGTACAGACCGGGAGAATTCCCAGTTGGCCGGTCCGTTTTTTGGCCGCGAGGGCCGGTGTGCCTAGCTCCAGAATCTGTTGCTCTCAGCAGTCACACTTTTAAAAAAATATTTATTTATTTACTTGACCACAGCCTTCTTATTCATTATTTTACCGCAGCTCGGCTCTTTTTATCTATTTTCTCGTTGCCTCGTGAGCAGCCTGCAGGTTAATGATGATATAACTAGATAAGTCACCTTTCAATGTGCAGCTGTTGTGGTACAGTGGTTAGCATGTTAGGCTATGACGCTGCCAACCCGGGTTCAGTCCTCGCCTGAGTAACATATTTTTTATTTTTATTTTTATTGTTAAGACATATAATACTGTAAGGGTTGTTGGACATTTGAAGTTCTAAAACAGCTGTCTTCTCGAAAAAAGACGTGATAGTGTAATTAGAAACTGAATTGGAAATGACCTTATTTTAATATAGTCAGTGGTGAACTGAGGTGGGCCGGTCAAAGGCTTGAAACTCCAGGGCTGAAAAGGAGTCCCACTCCGGCCCTGTATGCTTATGTACATTAGAGTTTGATGTTAGGTTTAAAGTTACTAATATTTATTGCATTACACATTTTGTATTCATTGTTTTGATAAACTTTGTATATATGTATTTTTTTCGTTTTTATATTATATTATATTATCTTTCTTTTGAAAATCACTTACAAAACCAAAGAAAGTTGATGTGTTTTATCCTCAATATTGTTTTCACCTCAGAGGATTGAGTCTCTCGTTGTTTGTGTTTCAGAGATGAAGAATAAGTGGCATCTGGTGGTGGACCGGCTCACAGTGCTGTTCCTCAAGTTCCTGGAGTACTTTCATAAGCTGAAACTCTTTGTCTGGTGGCTGCTGGAGATGCACATCATCAAGATCGTGGCCACGTACATCATCCTGCTCTCGGTCAAAGAGGTAAAACCATAAAACTCTTAGCAGTCATTCTGCATTTGACTAGGTGATAAGCAATGCCTTTCCTTCAGCTTAGCCTCTGCTTTATCAGGGGTCTCCACAGCAGAATGAACCGCCAGCTATTCTGTCATATGTTTTACGCAGTGGATGCCCTTCCAGCCGCAACCCAGTACTGGGAAACACCCATACACGCTCATTCACATGCACACACTCATACGCTATAGCTAATTTACCATAAATGTCACATGCATAATGCTGGAGTTGCTCTTCTAAAACAATGTGATGTGTGTTTCTGTGTCTTCTGCAGGTCTCGCTGCTGAACTTTGTGTTTTTGATCTCCTGGGCGTTTGCGCTGCCGTATAAGCAGTTTCGAGTTCTCTCCTCCAGCGTCTGCACCGTATGGACGTGCGTTATTATTGTCTGCAAGCTCTTTTACCAGCTCAAAACCATCAATCCTGCCAACTACTCCAGTGATTGTATTATGGTGGGTTTCTTTAACCTCGAGTGATCTCACTGTTCAGATGCTATTTGTTTTTTAATACAGTCAGTCATATAAATGCAGTTTTCAGCATAAATACGATGAAAACGTATAGTTTTATCCATTTATAAGCCAATAATTGTTGGTGCAATAATATTTTTTTATTAAACCATTATATTTATTATATTAGGTGTTTACAACACTTGTTAAAGGGTTAATATCAAGTGTGCCGCAAGCCTGCGTTTAAGTGAAGGTTTCGGCCGTTAGATCGCCCCCTGGGGGCTGGCTGCAGTACAAGTCATAAAGCCCGCCTCCTCCGTGTTAATGAAGGAGACTTGAGCCCAAATAAAAAAAAATTATTACACTTGCAATAAAATGTCCCGAAAGATGGTTCTGGTCGATTAAGGCACTGGTTATTGTGCTGAAATAGGTGCAGATCTTCATTTTTGTAAACAGTTTGTTTTTAGCAGTAATTTAATGCTGGGCGTGTCATCGTTTTTGACAGCTGTGATTGACAGTTTCTCAAAGCAGCGCGTCTGAGCTTCGGCAGGAGACTGAAATGTTATTATTCGATTTCTGTGTTATTTTACCATGACAAAATGAGTTCAGCAGTAAACTACAGTTTCTGACATACATGATCCTGGTGGAACACTGTTTATTCGCTAAGTTTAGGGCTTTTTTCGGGCTTTATTAGTTTGCTGATACACGCCTAACCACCCAGATAGCAAAACACAGTTCCAGCTAGATTCTCGCCTGCCGGAGACTTATCCCTTAGAGCTCAGACTGACTACCTCTGCTGGACCTACTCCGGATGCCTGGACTCACTACCCGATTGCAGCCCGAGTCAATCGAGCCAGATGCGGCGGCCGAGCGAGCCGGCGCTGCCGCATGCGAGCCGGAGTCAGCCCGCAACGCCGCGAGTAGGTTATGCGCTGCGGCCCGGAGCTGGCGCGATTGAGTATATAAAACCATCATATTTGTTAACGTTATTACATCCATTTGTGTTGATGTGACAGCAAACGCATGCTGAGAAGTTCTGGGGGCGTGGTTTATTTTACATTAAGCGTTTGGTTGGATGCTCGACTCAGCTCATTTTCGCGGCTCCTCCTCTGGCTCCATCAGACAGTCCTTCTGCGCATGTCAAGGCTCCAATTTCAGCAGTCTTTTGCGACAGTTTGTGCCCGTCAAGCAGGCGTTTTGCCCTCAAGGCGTTCTATGGGAAAAAGTCGTTGCGTCGTCCATATTTTTTACAGTCATTGGTTAATATCAAGCTGTCATGATAACAACAGGTTGTAATGTATTTATTTCAAGTTGTCATAACAAACAATGTCATCTTTGCTTTTAAAATGTCATAACTGAGCGAATGTCACCTAAGGACAGTGACATACATGCCTAAAATCTCATTCACATTCATGACAGTCATGATCATAAAGGTTTAATTGAGGTCTTATGAAGACCCCGTCAAATAAAGTGTTACCAAATATGAATTTAAAAGAGTGATCTGTGAGAAGTGAACTCTTTTATGCTGAACACTAGGGCTGGGGGATAAACGATATTATATTGAATCGCAATAAAATTGATGTCAGTAACAATGATAAACTCAAGACTTATTACTCTACATTGATCTAAGAGCCAATCGCAAAGAAATGTGCAACAATGGGAATCTAGAAGTGTGTTGATATTAGAGATGCACTGAATTTTTGGCCGCCAAACATTATCTACCACCGAAAATAGGTTATGCTATTTAATGAACTCAATTGTGGCTTCAGTCTTTATTTGGATACTCTTTTAAATTTGGAAGCGTTAACAACTGATATTAAAATATATATGGTTATTGTTCGATATAGAAAATAACTAATAGAGATTGCGTTTTGCCACATCACCCAGCCCTACTGAACACTATAATTAGTCTAATTAAGATTAGTTTCTAGTGTTTAATCCAGCAAGTGTCCTCTCTTTAGCCCAACTATACAGAAACAGAAAAAAAGGACATGAAGACGTCTCTACTGTATCGTGATCCAGTGGATCCTGCTAACTGGGTTGGCCTGCGGAAGTTTGATCATGGGATAATATTGCCTAACCTGAGGGTGAGGACACATCCAAATATATATATTTATTCATTCATTCATTCATTCATTCATTCATTCATTCATTCATTTTCCTTCGACTAAGTCTCTTTTTTTATCAGGGATCACCACAGCGGAATGAACTGCTAATTATTTCAGCATGTTTTACGCAGCGGATGCTTTTCCAGCCTCAACCCAGTACTGGGAAACACCCATACACACTCATTCACACACAAACACACCCATACACTATAGTCAATTTCATTCATCCAATTCACCTATAGCGCATGTGTTTGGAATGTGGGGGAAACCGGAGCACCTGGAGAAACCCTTGCCAACACAAGTTGAACATGCAAACTCCACATAGATATGCCTACTAGCCCAGCCAGGATTCAAACCAGTGACCTTCTTGCTGTGAGGCGAAAGTGCTATCCACTGAGCCATCGTGCTGCCCCAAATTTATAATAATAATTAAATAAAAAATAATAATGAGTTTATATAACACAATCATTTCTTTATATAGTTTAGCAAACTGGTTTCATAAAATTCCAGAGGGTTTGCTCTTATTATTATTAAAAGTCTAATGTTTTCTATTTATATTTTTTCATGCAGGCTGTACACATTTATGGTACAACAGTTGTTTTATGGGTCAGTTTTGACCCGCTAGCTATAAAACCATTTTACACCACTGGAACTCCTGGAAAACACTGGCACATGCCTACACACATACACATACAGAATGGTATTGGTGGTTTATAAGGACACTCCATAGGATTAATGTATGTTATACAGTAAAAAAAAAAAACACTTATTAAATGGAATTATGGTATAACAACACACAAACACACAAACACACACACACACACACACAAAAGACCTTATTAAGTATGATTTTGAATTACAAGGACATCAGGCATGTCCCTATAAACCAGGGGTCACCAATCTCGGTCCTAGAGGGCCTGTGTCCCTGCAGGTTTTAGCTCCAACTTGCCTCAACACACCTGCCTGGATGTTTCAAGTACATCTAGCAAGACCTTGATTAGCTTGTTCAGGTGTGTTTGATTGGGTTGGAGCTAAAATCTGCAGGACACCGGCCCTCCAGGAACAAGTTTGGTGACCCCTGCTATAAACCAATGGAAAAACATCATATATCATACTAGTGTCATATTACAAACAAACTGTCCCTTTAAACCATCAAAATGAGTACAAACACACACACACACACACGCGCGCACACACACACACACACACAAAAAGACCACGTCAAGTATGATTTTGAATTACAAGGACATCAGGCATGTCCTTATAAACCACTGTAATAACATCATATATCATACCAGTGTTATATTACAAACAAAACTGTCCTTGTAACCATCAAAATCAGTACACACACACACACACACAAAGACCACGTTAGGTATAATTTTGAAGTGTTTTGAATTACAAGAACATCAGACATGTCCTCATAAACCACTGTGATAACATCATATATCATACCAGTGTCGTTATAAAAAAAAAACGTCCTTGTAAACCATCAAAACAAGTACACACACACACAAAAGTGTCAGGATTCGTGGTAGGGAAAGGGAGCAAGGACTCAATTGCAGAAATAATATGGGTTTTATTTATAATAAAACAAAATTAAAAGCAAAACAGTAAAATAAACTACCCCGAGGGGGAAATTTCAATAAAACAAGTAAACAAACAAACAAACTTGACTGGGCAGGCTGGCAGGGATCAGGACTGGAAACACAACAGGACAGGGCCATAAACGACGACGAACTGGCACAGGACAGCAGACATGCAGAGAATATAAGCAGAGATAATTAACACAAACAGGTGAACATGATAAACTAGTAATGGGTTAACAATGAGAGTATGACTAGACAATAGACGGGAGAGCACAGGACACACAAACACCACAAGCCATGTGCTCACATAAAACAGGACTAGAACACACAGCCAATGAGAAATTCATTAACCGCGTATTCAAATGACGACACAAGCATGCAGTGCACGTAAACATACACCACGTGCTAAACACAACACCAACAGAAGACTGAACGCGAGACACGAGTACACAATGAATGAAAACACTCACCGTGTACTTGCACATGCAGTGTGCATGTTTCATCCCACCGCCGATCAAAACCGAAACCAACTAGACTGAGACGCTGGGAATGAAACACCATGGTGCAGACAGACGAACGTGAACTCCCGGGCGAGGGTGATCAATCACAAACACGCCCAGACCTCACGCGTCCGCATCAAAGCAAAAAAAAATGTTTTTTATTAATAATAAAAAAATTATTTTGCTCTTGTCTTTCTTTCACAGAATAACTTGCTGATGTTGGCCCTCTTGGCGTTCGAGGTTACCATTTACAGACACCAGGAGTTTTTCCGTCTAAGAAACAAACTTTCTCCTCCTCCTTCACGCACCATCTTTCATGACATCACCCGGCAACACCTTGACAACGGCATCATCGAGTGCGCCAAGTACTTTATTAACTACTTCTTCTACAAGTTTGGTTTAGAGGTATGCTGTCTGTCTGTCTGTCTGTCTATCTGTATGTATGTATGTATGTATGTTTATCTGTCTGTCTTTCTGTCTGTCTGTCTGGCTGTGTCTGTCTGTCTGTCTGTCTGTCTGTTTATCTGTATGTATGTATGTATGTTTATCTGTCTGGCTGACTGGCTGGCTGTGTCTGTCTGTCTGTCTGTCTTTATCTTTCTATTTGTCTGTTTCTGTCTGTTAGCCTGCCTGTCTCTCTGTCTTTCTGTCTGTTTGTCTTTCTGTTTGTTTATCTGTACGTCTGCCTGTCTATATGTCTGTTTATGTTTGTCTGTCTGTCTGTCTGTTTGCCTGCCTGTCTGTCTATCTGTCTGTCTGTCTGTCTGTCTGTGTGTCGGTCTGTCTCTCTGTCTGTCTATCTGTGTGTTTGTTTGTCTGTCTGCCTGTCTATCTGTCTGTCTGTATGTATGTCTGTTTATCTGTCTGTCTGTCTGTCTGTTCATCTGTCTGTGTGTTTGTGTGTCTTACTGGTTATCTATCTGATTATCTGTCTGTCTGTCTGTCTGTCTTTTATCTGTCTGTCTGTATATTTTAGCTGTTATTTTATAATTATGCCATTCGTTTTATCATTTTGCCTGTTGTTCTATCATTAAGTCTGTTGTTCGACTGTTTTAGCTAACATAGTATCATTTTGGTTTTTGTGCTATTGTTACTTTATGTCTGTCTAATAATGTCTATTTTATATCTGTTAGACTCTCCAGAAAACCATTAAGCCGATTTCTTAATTTGGATCTTTGTTTTGTTTTGATCTTTGATCTGTTTGGTTAAATTGGATGTATGTAGTTCATTTTTTATATTTAATGCAGGATTTACTCGCTTACAAAATCATTCAAATAAATTTAAAATCCATTTTTTTTGTTTGTTTGTTTTTTCAAATAGAGTTATAATAAGTCATATTGGAATGAAATTACATTCATATTGCAATATCACAGAAAAACAAAATATGCATTGTCAGTTTTTTTCAATATCGTGCTGCCCTACGTGTTATTTTTGAATTCCTTTATTATCTGTGGGAATCCCGTCACTGTCATTCTATTGCACTATGGAAGCTTCTGTTTCGGAAATGTCATCAAAGCTCTTTGTGATTCTGATTGGTATCCTTTTATAATGTGCTATCAGGTGTGTTTTTTGTTGGCCATCAATGTGATGGGTCAGCGGATGGATTTCTACTCCATGGTCCACGGCTTGGCTCTGGCTGTGGTGATGTTCAGACGGCGGAGGAAAGCCATCGCTGAGATCTGGCCCAAATACTGCTGCTTCCTGGCCTGTATGATCACCTTTCAGTATTTCATATGCATCGGGATTCCACCGGCTGCTTGTGCAGGTGTGTAGCCGTGTCTTTATCATCACTTTGATCACAGTTGAATCTTGATGTTTGTCTCAAATCATAACCTGTCCCAGAGCAGCTTAGCCATACAGCATGGTGACAAAGAGTGATTAAAGCCGAGCTACTATCATGATACCTAAAAGCTAAAATTGGTCCAAACTAAGCTAGCTTGCCTGCTTATCTGGCTTCACGATGCAGGTGTAAATGCAGCCCAAAACATGTATTGATTCACCCAGTCACATTGTTTTAGTACGTTGTTTTTTTATGTGAAACACAATGTTTAATTCTCAAACATCTCTGTCTTCCTAGATTATCCCTGGAGGTTTCCCAACTCCTCGATGACGTCTAATGTCATTAAATGGCTTTACCTTCCTGATTTCCACACTCCACCCAGCTCCATGTTCCTCGGCTGTGAGTACTGCATCTGAACTATTGAGCATCAGTGCTTTCCGGTCAACATTAGAGGTTTGCTGTTGTGTTTTGCAGCTCAGCAAAACATGTAATCATCAAATGCTGGTCAGATTGTTGACCACCAGCATAACAAATGGTTCATTTCAGACCATGTTATTCTGACCTTGTAAAGAGATCGGCCACATTTATGCATCACAGGCTCATTGTTGATATGTACCCCTGTATACATTTCTGGAGAGTGCGAATTATGTAGCCAGAGGTACATATGGCAGAGGTATATACATTTTCCCCAATTTCTGTTTAACAGAGAGCAGATTTTTTCAACACATTTCTAAACATAATAGTTTTAATAACTCATTTCCGATAGCTGAGTTATTTTATCTTTGTCATGATGACAGTAAATAGTATTTGACTAGATATTTTTCAAGACACTTCAATACAGCTTAAAGTGACATTTAAAGGATTAAATAGGTTAGCTAGGCAGGTTAGGGTAGTTAGGCAAGTTATGGTATAATGGTATAATGATGGTTTGATCTGTAGACTATCGAAAATAAATGTAGCTTAAAGGGGCTAATACTTTTTCCTTTAAAATGGTGTTTAAGGGTGCTTTCACACCTACGCTTTTGTTTCGGAACGTCTCTCGTCTGCCCAGTTAGCGCGGTTCGTTTGGCATATGTGAACAGGGTAATCGCTCTCTATTCCGCGCCAAAGTAATCGCTCCGAGATCGCTTGAATGAGGTGGTCTCGGCTCGATTGAAACGAACCCTGGAGTGGTTCGATTACAGTGAGAAAGCGATCCGATCCGAGCACAGTTATATCACAGTATTTTATGGATATGTAATAGGCATACGGCTATATGAAGAGAGAATTGTGAGTATGGCGGGAAGTTTCGCGAGTCTCCGGATGCCCGCAAACGAGTGATGATCTCCCGGTAATCTCGCGACACTCTGACCAATGTGAGGAGAGTTTACTCACACGTGACTTGTTTTAGCTATTTTGGTCCGATTAGAAACTTTGCAATGTGAAAGCGAACCGCTCCAAGAGCAAAGAGCAACAATGTAACAATTGTAATCTCTGTTTCGGAACAACTAAATCGATTCACAGGTGTGAACAGCACCCTAAATTAAATTATTAAATGAAAAACTGCTATTATTATAGCCAAAATAAATCAAATAAGACTTTCTCCTGAAGAAAAAAAATATTATCAGACAAACTGTGAAAATGTCCTTGCTCTGTTAAACATCATTTGGAAAATATAAAAATAAATAAATAAATAAATAAATAAAACGGGGGGGGGGGGGGGATAATCCTGACTTTAACTATATATATGTATGTATATATATATATATATATATATGTGTGTGTGTGTGTGTGTGTGTGTGTGTGTGTGTGTGTGTGTGTGTGTGTGTGTGTGTGTGTGTGTGTGTGTGTGTGTGTGTGTGTGTGCGCGTGTGTGTGTGTGTGTGTGTGCGCGTGTGTGTGCGCGTGTGTGTGTGTGTGTGTGTGTGTGTGTGTGTGTGTGTGTGTGTGTGTGTGTGTTGTTTTTGTTGTTGTTCTTATTAATAATAATTTACTAATTAATGTTTTTATCTAATTTTCCACCATTTGATTTATATTTGATTATTATATACTTTTTCCATTTTAATAAAATAGCCTTGCAAGTATACAAAATTAACTAAATTTTTTCAATTCAAGTTAAGTTTTATTTGTATAGCACTTTTACAATGTATATTGTGTCAAAGCAGCTTTACATAAATGGTCATAGTAACTGGATCAGGGTAGTTCAGTTTTTAGTGTTTAAGTTCATTTTAGTTCAGCTCAGTTCAGTGTGGTTTAAAGTCATTACTGAGAGTCCAAGCACTGAACAGCAATCCATCAATGCGCAGCTCTGCAGATCCTGAACCATGCAAGCCAGTGGCGACAGCAAGGAGGAAAAAAAAACTTCACTAATTGGCGAGTGAAGAAAAAAAAAACCTTGATAGAACCAGACTCAGTTCGGCACAACCATTTTAATTTCTCCGCTGGCCAAAAGTCTTGTGTAGAGCTGCAGTCTCAGCGGTGGAGGCTGGAAGCTGGCTTCAGCGAAGACTCGTCTGTCCCTGGAGCGTCACTGGTATCAGTCTCATGCTCTCCACTCCCCCATGACCACCAAAATTAACTAATGACATAATATGAACCTAAAAGTGCAAACAGGCTGCAAAAACACGCAGCAAAACAAATAATCATTTCCAATACTTCCTAAATTAGTGCTTTATAATAAATACTTTAAATAGGGGTTTACCTTTAAAAAGGTTCTTTAGAACTTTAACTGACCATAAATCCCTAATGATAGACTATTTGATTTGTTCTCACACTGTCTCTGTTATATTGTGTGATGGAAGGATTGTGCGAGAGCGTGCCGGTTTGAGTCCAGCTGTAACCGCAGCGTGGCCGAAACAGCGTTTTCGTTATGAGTCCATTCAGTATGATTCTGCCAGCTTCTGTTACTACACGTACAAATGTCTCAATTATGAAGACTGTTTGAATTGTATTTTTTGAAACATGACGAGTTTGATTAGCCTACCTTTGACTACATGGCTCTCACGGTAGTGCCGAAATAAGGGGCTGTAATAATAAGGGGGTAAAAATCACCTTTATGGGTGACTAAAACAGGGCTATTCAATATTCTGATTGGGCTACAGCCACTTTGAGCACCAGTTTAGCTCCGGTGTCACTGTTTTTGAACAGCAGTGAACCGAAAGGAGTACTTCACATTATCGACGAGAGAAAGCAAAGAGGCGTTTTCCGCGTCATAGCGCAAATTAACTATTCAGCCAATCAAGGGCCCCCTTCTTCTGTGGGGCCTGTGGCTTCAGCCCCACTTAGCCATTACATTAATCCGGCCCTGGGTACACAGAGTGGAGTTGACCACAACAATGGAGTTTGAGTCTGGCGAAGAATGGTTCCAGAAGTCAAGTAAAACAAGCAAAAAATAAATAAATAAATAAATAAACAACAGGCTGAAAACGTGGTGAAATCACGCGACTACCATGGCTTTTCTTTTTCCAGACTGCTTTTGAAAACACTTTGGACTGGGTTTAGGGAAAGGGGTGTGTGGATTAGTCAGTCAGTCAGTCGACAGCAAGCTGGCCTGGTTGACTGAAATGCATCCTCTGGTGGATTTACAAGAGATCAAAAATCATACACGGCGGCCTCTGGTGGAATTGCAAAAACAAAAACTGTGAGCAGACGTACCTCCGGGTACATATTTCACTGTCCCCGGAAATGTAGATCCGGGTATGTATCCACAATGAGCCTGGGCTGCATGTATGTGTTTTATTCTGACGGTTACTGAGCAGATTCTGCCAATCACTGTATTAATGTCTAAATTAGTACTGTCAAATGATTCATTATGATTAATATGCAAATTTTTATGCATGTAATGTGTGAACAGTGTGTGTTTGTAATTTATATGAGCATTCTCACACGAGTAGCAATGCAATGTGGCTGTATATCAGCACTGGTGGAAGGCATACACTGGCTCAAGGCCGCAGGCTGAGTGACTTACGGACCATTCACACGGGGCGTCAGCGTCAACGCTTGACTGAAGGTGTGTCTGAAGTTGGGGCTGAAGCGATAATCATAGCAGCGTCAGCCAATGAAATTCAGTCAGCAATAGGCCACTGTCTAGCTGGTGTATTTGCATACAGCGATCTGATTGGCTGACGTTTCCGTCGGCGCTTAAAATGTTGAGCTAGTCCCAACTTCTACAGTGAGCAACACCACTTAAGCATCGCCGACGGATCCACAATGCAGTTCGGCAACCCCTGACGTCACCCATTCAAAGTGAATGGGAAGCGTTGACACTGACTCCCAATGTGAATGGGGCGTTAGTGTACAGCCAGCGACGATATACAGACACATCGTACTTCTACTAGTGTGATACTGTTTGTACAACAGTTTGACAGCATAATCGTGTATATAAAAAAGAAAATCAACCATGGAGAGTCTAAAAAGCCTTTTGTATGAAGAACTACTTTCTTCCACTATTCATTCACAGTTGACGTCAGAACAGCAGAAACCATTGCTAATTCACAGAGGTTACTTTAGAGCTAGTGTTTGAATCATAAGTGTATTGTTTTCACTTCTGCGCCATGGAAACACCGTGATTCATTCGGCAGCTGTTTGATATGTGAATATAATTCAGTAAAACGGATGCTAGAACCGTATGAGCACCGGCAAGAGCTTTCATTCGAGCTATAACTTGTACATGTGTAAAATGAAAAATAAGAAAATAAAGCAATGTTCAATACCCAGCTCGGGTATCCAAAATACTGTGTATTTAAGGGTAAATAACTTTTGTACAATACAATAAAAACCAAAGTGATGCAAATGTGCATAAAATTGAAATTCTACACTTTCAAACGAAACCACTTAAGGGTGTCTGGTGCAATGCTGGCCCTTTAAATCTTAGTTGATGACGTCACCGTGTCCGCGGAGTTAAACTGTAAGAATTAGTTTTTTTCGATAATCTACAGAACAAACCACTGTTGTCCAATGATTTGCCTGATTACTCTAATATGCCTATAAACCTTTAAATGTCACTTTATGCTGAATACTATTATCTTGGAAATATACAGTAAAATTTTATGTATTATCATTATGACAAAGATTTAAAAAAATGTTAAATTTAAAAATGTATTGAATAAAATCACAATCAATCATCAGTTGGAAAAAATTTCAAAAGGCTAATTATTTTGCCTTCAACTCTATATTATATAAATGCAAACTTTAATTTTGGATGCACTAGTTTATGCATCCACTTGGATGATGTGGCGGCAGCCACAGGACAACGGCGCCAGTGCGCTCACCACACACCAGCTATTGGAGTGGAGAGACAGTGATAGAGCCAATTCAGTGGATAGGGATGATTGGGAGGCCATGATTGTAAGGGCCGATTGAGGGACTTTGGCCAGGACACCGGGGTTACACCCCTGCTCTTTACGAAAAGTACCTTCGTTGTTCTCCAAATCTGATCTTATAATATAGTTTTTCTGCTCTCCTCTGCTCTTTTGTTTCCTCTCCTGTAGATGATTTCATGCTGCTGCTGTGTGCGTCGCTGCAGAGGCAGGTGTTTGATGAAGAAAATAAAGCCGCCGTTCGCCTGATGGCGGGAGATAATGTGGAGATCTGCCGAGATCTGGACGCTGCATCATTCAGTGTTCACAACCCGGTGCCAGACTTCATTCACTGCAGGTACACAATATTCACCTTTAAGGTGCTGTATGTGTTTGACTTTTCTAAAGCATAAAAATACCATAATATGTTTGCAGATATTTCCGAAACATGCTAAGTGAACGTTCGTGTTTATCAGAAAAACAATGCTGAAGTCAGATATTCTGCTTTAATCCGCCCATTGCCGGTTTAGCCAATTATATTTCAGCACCACGGGTTGTCTTGGTGGAAAATAGCATATTTGATTCATTCAGTCATGAAGGTTCTCAAAGGCCACATTTACACTGCATGGTTCAAGTGACTCAATTCTGATTTTTTTTTTCTCCCATGTGGCACAGATCTGATATGGCCCATGTACATGAATAAATCACATGGATTCGGATTTACTCAAATCAGATTGAGACTTTGTTCATATGTGCAAATTTATCCAATATGAATCGAATCTGTGCCCTCGTGTCAGCAATGTAAGCAGGTTGGATTTTCAGCTTAGTCTCTTTATTAATCCAGGGTCGCCACAGCGGAATCAACGGCTGGTTTATCCAGCTTGTTTTTACGCAGTGGATGCCCTTCCAGCTGCAACCCATGTCTGGGAAACATCCACACACACTCAATCACACTCATAAAATGCGTACAATTTAGCCTACCCAATTTACCTGTACCACATGTATTTAGACCAGGGGTGTCCAAACTTTTTGGGCCGAGAGCCAGATGCAAAAAAAAAAAAAAAAAAAAAAAACGTTGTCCCGGGCCAAATTTTACATACATCACACAGACATGTGTGTATATATATATATATATATATATATATATATATATATATATATATATATATATATATATATATATATATATATATATATATATATGTGTGTGTGTGTGTGTGTGTGTTATAGAATTATTATTTTTTTTAATTTGTCATCCAACATCCATCTTTCTAGAAAGATCTGCGGTTTAAAATCTTGAATCTTCTCTGGGAAAATTACAGTTGCAACAATCATCAGGCATTCCTATATAAATTATTCTTTACTGAAGGGTTTCCTGTGCTGTGCGATTAGCTGAGCTACCTTATAACTAGCCAGCGTAGAATTTTCTTGCACTTTATTATTACGAAAATACTGCTGTTGTTGAGCTAGGGCAGCTGCTATTTGTTTTACTTTTTGATCTCGTTCGGCACCAGTGTAAAAGCTGAAGGCCTGGGGCCTCATGTACGAAGACTTGCGTGGAAATCATACTAAAACATTGCGTACGCACAAAGCTGTAAATGTGCGTACGCAGAAAAAAATTCAGATGTCTGAAACACTGCGTACGCCGAATCTCACGCATATTCTTTTGTACATCTGAATGAACGTGAAATCGAGTGCAACATGCACGAGCACAAAACCCCTCCCTGCCTCCGCCCCCGTATGAATATGCTAATGATTATGCTAATGGAAAAACCCAATGAAAAAGCAATGGCAAAAGCAAGTAAGAAGAGAAACTTTGAACAGAATGTGAATCTGAGGTGCTGCTTTCGGAGGTAGACCGGAGGAAAGCGGTGTTACTTGCGAGTTTGTTCTCCGGAATTAACAACAAAAGAAAAAAATAGAATGGGAGAGTTTAGCTGATGCCGTTAACACAGTTGGGTCTGTACATCGCACTGAGTGAATTAAAAAAGAAATAGTGTGATTTATAGGTGTAAAGTGTTGCAGTGCCCTTAACAGTCTCAGTGGCGCAGCTTGTAAAACACGTCAACATGTTTTGACACGTTCGAGCATGAACTCGGTTCGAAACCAGCGTCTGATGAACTCATTCTTCTTTTTTCCCCCGCTACATATCAGACTTTGCCAACTATTTATCATGAGAAAGACAAGTAGGAATCATTAATAAGTTTGTGCATCATATTTTATTTGCAGATTTATTGAAGGGAAATGTTTCTGATTCACGTATGCAAATTCATCTTCAGATAACAGTTAGTGTCTTTATAGCAATGTGCGTGCGGTAGATAGCTCAGATTACATTGGGAAAACAGGTGACCGCTGCAAATTGCGCTTTAATGTTTGGCTGGTCAACTGTATGGTATGGAAACCTTATATACCTGCATGATGAACCCGTCTCATACAGCTGCCATTGCAAGGCTCAGACACTTTGTAGAGAGCAATTTAACACAACTGCCTCTAGGAGTCGCCAATGGAAATAAAACAGACACCACAAAAAATGTGCGTACGCCAGCCAGAAAGCTGGCGTGGAGCTGCGCACATTCCCACGTTCAGTGCATTGTTAGTAAATCCAAACGTGAGCGATTCTGAGCATGAAACCTGGCATACGCAAAGTTTTTGTGCGTACGCAGCGTTGATACATGAGGCCCGAGATGTTTTGTTTCATAATGTGTTTTAATATTATATTCCTTCATTACTGCAACTGATTCCTGGCAAATTAAACAGACACATATCCCGCTGACCTCTGTGAAGAAATATTCTTTGCCCCAACATGACTGAAATTTCCTGCACTCACTGTTGATTTACCTTTTTCTTGGTTGTGCCATGGCTCGCCAAAACGTGATTATCAATTATGTTTCCTTCAGTTTGTTCGGTTCGTTTTACTTCATAACAGGAACTGCTGCCTAATTGAAGGCATGTCATAGCGACACCCAGTGGTTATTACGTTCATTTTTGTATAGCGGGCCAGATTCTCTTAATATTTAAAAAAGGTCTCACGGGCCGCCACAAAACTGATTGCGGGCTGCAGATGGCCCGCGGGCCGTAGTCTGGACACCCCTGATTTAGACTGTGGGGAAACCAGAGCACCTGGAGGAAACCCCCGCGAACACAGAGAGAACATGCAAACTCCACACAGAAACGCCAACTGACCCAGCCGAGGCTTAAACCAGCGGCCTTCTTGTTGTGAGGCGACAGCACTACCTACTGCATCACTGCATCGCCCCGCCATGTAACTAATATAAAACATTCATGCATAAATCACGTACATAAATCCCACCATGGACATGACATTAAGATGCCTACTGGTTTAAAAAGTCCTTGATTTAAAAGAGGCTGGCCAAATGAGAACTTTTCTTTCATAAACCATAGTAAAACAACTTGTCAAAAAGAATTAAAATTAAAAAATGAAACCCCGTGAACACATTAAATACAGGAACGGAGAAAAGAGCGCTCTTTTATTATCAGCTGTTTGACAGCGCCCACTCTTTTTTCCTGGTCATTGTGTCTTTGCAGTGTGCTGTGTAAATGCAGACAATCGGATATGAGTCACTTTCAAAACATGATGTAAGCAGGTCAGCAAAAAAACTGCATTAATGTGAATTATTTTAACACACTAAATTACGTAACATATTATACTGAGTAATCATGGGTCAAAGACGAGCGTCTCATATTGATCATTTATATCAGGAAGAATTTGAAGTTATATATCACATATTAAAGTGAAAAATAAAGTTCAGTGTTTTTAATTTGAATGTAGAAATAATAAATAAATAAATGATCATATGAAAAGTTATTTGATTTGATTTGATTAAAAGACTCAAGCTAACACATTGGGCTCTATTTTAACGATCTATGCGCAAAGTCTAAAGCGCATGGTGCAAAAGCATTAAGGGCGTGTCCGAATCCACTTTTGCTATTTTAAGGATGGAAAAATACGTTCTGCGCACCGGCACATGGTCAAGCAAGGTTGTGCTTATTCTCTTAATGACTTCTGGGTGTGTTTTCTGCATAATGTGCATTAAACCAATCAGAGTCTCCCAATTCCTTTTTAGTGTAAGTTGTGTCGCACCATGGCACATCTGCTATTTAAGTGAAAAAACTGAACGCCTCACTTGCAAGAAAACAGTTAAACAGACCATCTGTAACACGAGGATAAAGAGCGAGAATCCACCATTCAGTCACTTTACTTTCTCTTTACTTCACTCTTTACTCCTTTACTTTGGTGGCGCATTCAATCGGCCCCTTATGCAGTCAAACTAAAAATATATAAAATAATAATTTTAATCGTTTAACTGATTGCATTAATCGGTCACAAACGCACCCTTTCGGTTAACGCTTAATCGATTATTTTGAGCATCCCTAATCCAAACACATATCCTATTCTTATGCCCCATATGGGGATGCAGACGTCTCCAAAACCCCACAGGTGCACCTAAATATAAATATGCATATAACAAATCATTCATTCATTTTCTTGTCAGCTCAGTCCCTTTATTAATCCGGGGTCACCACAGTGGAATGAACCACCAACTTATCCAGCACATTTTTACGCAGCGGATGCCCTTCCATCTCCGGGAAACTTCAAGAGATGATTAAAAACTCAACTATTTAGTCTCCACTTCCCTTCCTAATCTGCAGTTGCCTCTCTGACTCCACCGCTAACTGTACTACAAAAAAAAATAAAAAAGAAAAAAAGAAAAAGAAAAAAAATTAATAAATAACTAATGTTTTGCTTCTTACACTTTACACACCTGAAACTTGCCTACAGCACTTATTCATTGTTGCTCTAATAGTTGTGTAAATTGCTTCCTTGTCCTCATTTGTAAGTCGCTTTGGATAAAAGCGTCTGCTAAATGACTAAATGTAAATGTAAAATGCAAATAACCACGGGGAAATATCAAAACAGTTTTTACCTTCCTGGTATTATTATTAAGACACGCTCTGTGCAAAATTGCCGCTACAGATTGTTTACGTTTGCTGTGAGCAATAATTTCAAAACGCGGGATACTGAAAGTGTCACAGGTGGATGACGTTAAACTCCAGGGGCATTTTCTTTCGTGTTTTGTGCGTCTTTGTTGTCTTCCAGTCTGATGTTATGACAGCTGAGATTTTACAGTGTGGCATGGGAGCCATGTTCGTGCAGTCTGACATGCTACAATCATTCAGGATTATAAAAAAATCTCACAGTGCAGGGCTCAATGATAAGGACTGCCCGATAGCCCAGGGCCAGCATGTGAGACTCTCGGGTGAGACTCTCGGGACGGTGGACAGGATCATTACTGGCCCAATCTGTCACTAAAGTTTAATTTGCCTGCAACTATTTGTCAGATGCGTGCAAATACAGTCTTAGAATCGAGAAACAGTTTGTGTTTTTAAGCCTTCAAATGCTACCTTCTCTGTGATGGTGTCGTAAGCACTATATTGCTTTTCATTCCTCTTATCTGATTGGATGTTGTGAGCAGGTTATTTTTTTTCCATAACAACTAGTACAGTGAAGAGACAGCAACATCAAAGGATAATGCTACAATAAAACGTTTGTTTTTAACTTTTTGGAAGCAGACATTGCGAGGGTACACCACGACAAAAAAAAAAAAAAAAAAAAAAATGAAGTGATGTTTTGTACAGTTTGCCATCAGTTTGGCAGGTCAGCCACTTATGTTTTGCAATAAAGTACCTGGGGTCTGTTCTTCGTACGTGGATTACTCAGTTAGCTGGATTTGGATATTGACGATTTGACACAATCCAGGATCGTTTCGTTCTTCAAAGCTGATCTGAGAGTTGTTGTCATGGCAACAGTTCTGCTAGGTCAAACCTGATCGGGAGCAGGTTCAATTCATATAAACAGGATTAGATCGGCTTAGTTCAAGCAAAGATAATACAGAAAGTATGTTCTGAATTCTGATATTTTCTTACAGTAGTAGTTTTATACACTTGGGAAAATGGTACATATTTTTTAACTATATATATAAAGTTATAGTCATTAATAAAATAAATAAAGTTATACATATTAATAAAACTTATGCAATCTCCACCCTCGAAATGAAAGTACAAATACTGCCACCTGGTGGTGCAAAGAGAAAACTTATTGGTATGAACTTTTTAGATGGCTTTAGTACAAATTGTGTATAATAGAAATGTACAATATGTGACTTTTTTTTAAAGCAATAATACATTTATGCAGTCATAAACATGTTTTGATAGTTAATATTCCAGTGATTTGATGCTTCACAAAAGTTGCAGACGCCTTTACCAATATCAAAATGCTTTTGTAAACAACCAGTTATTCTTTACACCAATTAAAAAAACAGCTACTATAATAAAGAAAATATTTTCTAAATGTAGAACTAAATACACTGATATGCATTGAAATACATGATGAATACTCTCGACACATGAAAGTGTGAAGCCTGCAGCTCACAACAAATGTGGAAGGTTATTGTGTGTCATATTTAACGGTTTACTGGTAATTTGATGTAATTTTGCTCACATGGATAATTGAATATTAATCAGATGATGTCATTACGCTGCTGTGCCGTCAGCCAATCGTTGCATTGCTGATCATGATTTCAAGGATCGATAGATCTGTCCTTCACAACACACGCAGCGATCTCAGATCAGTTCATCCAGACATTCTAATCTGATTCACGAACTTGTTTGAAGAACCAAATTAGCGAGAGATCAGTTATCAAGATTAAAAGATCCAGGATCTGCCAAATCATCTTAGATCATTTAAGCGAGGTACGAAGAACGGACCCCTGCACATTTTTTCTTTACCGCTACTTTTGTTTGCATAACACATTGAATTTTGCTGGGGCCAGTGAAAATATTGGCAGGGCAAGTACAAATCTGAACCACTGGTCCAATCGGGCCAGTAGAAAAAAACCTTAGCGTTAAACCCTGCAGTGTGAGCCAGTCTTAAGACCCATTTGTGAATCTTTTGTAGCTGGTATCTAGCATTTACTGTATCTAAGTTTTTTCACTCGTCTCTCACTCTCCCTGCTCACTTTTCAAGAATTTCCATGGATCGTATTGCAGGAAAGGGAAAAATCCATACCATCCCATCACACCATCTCTCTCTGTCTGAGCTCTAACCCAATAAGTAGCTTTTAAGTATGGACTGATCTTTTTTTTTCTCCTCTACAAGGTGATTGATTTTAGCAGAGGAAGCATCTTGTTGTTGTGGTCCATCAATGCAGGTCCATATAACAACATCTCAGCTTTTCATCAGAGCTCTTAGCATACAGGCCTGTGGCTAAACACGCGGGTCAGTGTCTGCAAACAGCCGCTGGATGCGGGACGTTGTTTTTTTTTTAAGCTTTTGGAGTGGCAGGTGGAAAGTGCAGAGCAATGCATGTACAGGCTTTTAGCGTTGCAGAAAATGAGCGGCGCATCCATATACATGTGAAGGAATCGCTTCAGGGAATCGATCCGCTCATTAGCGTTATGCCTGTCAGGATGTCTGAGATCATATAGGAAATGAAGCATCACCGGCTGTGACAACATCTCATTTATGTTAATTTATAATGAAAGTTGCAGTTTTGTTCCTTACATGCATTTCTCTTCATGGTTTTGACAGTGTATTTTGTTTTTTTATTTGTTTTATTTGAGGGTTTTTTTTTTCACCAAAATACAAGTTTATTTTATTTTTGTATTTTTTTATTGTTTTTTTTTTATCTTTACCAACATTAATTTAATTTAATTTAATTTAATTTAATTTAATTTAATTTAATTTTCATTTCATTTCATTTCATTTCATTTCATTTCATTTTATTTTATTTTATTTTATTTTATTTTATTTTATTTTATTTATAATTATTCGCCCTCCTGTGAAATTTTTTCCCAATATTTCCCAAATGAGGATTGACTGAGCAAGGAATTTTTCACAGTATTTCCTAAATTTTTTCTTCTGGCGAAAGTCTTATTTATTTTATTTCTGTTTTTAATTACAATTATATATATATATATATATATATATATATATATATATATATATATATATATATATATGTATATATATATATATTATATATATATATATATATTTTTTTTTTTTTTTTTTTAAGGTCAATATATTTATCCCTTTTAAGCTATATTAAAAAAAGAAAAAGAAATCAGGCAAATAATTTGTGCTTCAACTATATTTAATATATCTGTTACCCGAAATTACCATGTTTCGTTGACTAAGACCCATTTGTGATTGTTTTGTAGCCGTTACCTTGCATTTAGCCACATTTATTTACTTGTTTTATTAGTTTTTTCTTTCATAAAAATACAAATTTTATTTATTTTTTTATTTTTATTATACATTTTTTTTCTTCACCAAAATACTTTATTTTATTTTATTTATTGTGTTTTTATTATTTATTTTAATTTTACTGGTTGAGACAACATTTAATTTATATGAAATAAAAATGAAAGCTGAAGTCTTATTTGCATGCATTTCTCTTCCTGATTTGGCAGTGTTTTGTTTTTTTATTTGCTATTTTTTTCACCAATTTATTTATTTATTTATTTATTTATTTATTTATTTAGTTAGCTAGTTCATGTTTATTTAAATTCATTTAATTGAATTTTATTTTATTTTTAATTATCCACTTATTAGCATTATGCCTGTCAGGATGTCTTAAATCATATTGGAAATTATGCATAACTGGTTGTGACAACATCTCATTTATGTTGATTAATAATAAAAGCTGCACTTTTGTTCTTTGCATGCATTTCTCTTCCTGTTTTGGAAGTGTTTTATTTTTATTTGTTTCTTTTTGTTTTTACCAAATACCTTTTATTATTCATTTTATTTTATTTTACTGGTTTTGACAACATCTCATTTACATTCATTAATAATGAAAGCTGAAGTCATAAAATGCCTCATTAAATCTTTTTTTTATTATTGTTTATTTTTGCTCTTCAATGTTCATTCATTCATTCATTTTCTTGTCGGCTTAATACCTTTATTAATCCGGGGTCGCCACAGCGGAATGAACCGCCAACTTATCCAGCAAGTTTTTACGCAACGGATGCCCTTCCAGCCGCAATCCATCCCTGGGAAATGTTCTTCAATGTTTTGTTTTGATATTATGAGGGAAATAATGCATAATCCGTTGCAACATCTCATTTATTCATTAATTTTCTTTTCAACTTAGTCCCTTTATTGGTTTGGGGTCGCCACGGCGGAATGAACCGACAACTTATCCAGAATATGCTATATGCAGCGGATGCCCTTCCAGCTGCAACCCATCACTGGGAAACACCCCTAAACACTCATTCACACACATCCACTATGGACAATTTAGCTTACCCTATTCACCTGTACTGCATGTGTTTGGACTGTGGGGGAAACCGGAGCACCCGGAGGAAACCCACACCAACACGGGGAGAACATGCAAACTCAACACAGAAATGCCAACTGTCCCAGCCGAGGCTCGAACCAGCAATCTTCTTTCTGTGGGGTGATCGTGCTACCCACTATGCCATTGTGACTTCCCTCCAATGCAAATTTTTATAATTTGATTAATTTATTAATATATATTTTTTACATTAAATGTTTTTTTTTTCTTTTTTTAATTACAATGTACTTAAGTTTGGTCTAAAACTACATATGTTTGTTTGAACAATTAAAACACAAAATTAACTCCAGCTTCAACTCTAGATTCTAGATGTGCAATAAATGACAGAGCAAAATGAGTGAGTGTGCAATGAAAAATTTGGTAACCGCATAATAGGACAATAGTTTATTTTTTGCAATGCAAAAAATTTTATTATCCTTGACATACATTTTTTAGAATATCTTTAAATTACTATGTTCTTAATTGTTCTCTAAAACAAAATACTTTTGATTGAATAATAAATACATCTAACTCCATACTGTATTTGACCACCTCTGAATTTTCCTCATCAGTTCTTCATAATCTTGCACAATAGTCAGAGAAATATCATCTGAAAATGACTCTTTCTCTGTTCCAGGTCATACCTGGACATGCTGAAGGTGATCATGTTCAGTTACCTGTTCTGGTTCGTCCTGACCATCATCTTCATCACGGGCACCACACGGATCAGCATCTTCTGCATGGGTTACCTGGTGGCCTGCTTTTACTTCCTGCTGTTTGGTGGGCAACTTTTACTCAAGCCAATCAAAGAGATCCTCCGTTACTGGGACTTTCTCATCGCCTACAACGTTTTCGTCATCACCATGAAGAACGTCTTTGCAGTGAGTTTGAGCTGATGCGTTAGTCAAATGCGTACAATTTTAGTTTTCAAACAGTAAATACGAGGGATGCCTGTCAGGGGTTTTATTTAATTTACTTTTTATTTATGTTTTATTTATACTATTATTATAATTTCCTATTTATGTATACTATTATACTATTATGTATACTACTGTTAAGGTTTTGCAGTGTTTTATTTATTTATTTATTTTTACAACAATTCAAATCTGAATTCCAAAATATATTTATTTTTCTTACCAAAATATATTTATTCTTCTTACCAAAATATATTTATTTTAGTTTAATTTAATTTAATTTAAGTTTTATTTTATTTTATTTTATTTTAATTTATTTAATTTTAATTTATTTAAATTGATTTTATTTGATTTTATTTGATTTTAATTTATTTTAATTTATTTAATTTAATTTAATTTAATTTATTTTATTCTATTGGTTTGTTTTGTTTTATTTCTACATAAAAAGTCATAATATTATTCTAAATAAACATTGTTCGTTATAATTAGACAGTACTCTTTATTTACTGTAATTACTCTTTTAAAATATGATGTACACAGGTCATCAAATAAATTGGTTACAGTCACAAAATTGGAATCGACCATCAAGATCTGCAGTGTAAATGCTGATCCTGGACCAGGCCGGATCTCAGCCAGATTTGTCTGATAGTGTCAGTGCTAAACTTGGGCAACATAAAACCATACATTATAATTACAAGGATTGGGCCGGATCTAAATGTATGTGTCGGTGTAACTGAGGCATGCTGGACAATGGAGTTGAGGATCCACATGCAGTTTATTAAACAGAAAATGGTCAGGCAGGCAACGGTCAAACAGGTACAAACAGCTTCTTAGGGGTAATGCAGAAGCGTAGTCAAAGTTACAGTCGAATGGTCAGGGCAGGTGGCAAAGAATCAGTACCAACGGTAAAACAAGGCCAGGATCAAAACACGAAAAAATCGTTTTCCGTCGACGTTTAATGCCTCTTGACTAAATAAAGGGCTTTAATGTGATCCTGCACACCAATGCGCAAAACGCCAGGCGTAAAATCGTCATTTTTAAAGAAACAACTCACGCTTGTTTTTTTTTTATTTTGACGTGCTGCGTCAAAACCTTCTCCACCAATCAGATCGGCACTTTTGTGCACATGCATGGAGCTGCTGAAGTTACGGTAAACAGCATTTGGAGGCGCTCAAGCACAAAACTGTCAATGCGAGCGCACATTGAAGAAGATGCCCAGAGGCGATATGAACGTGAAGCTGCTTATTGCACTGCTGAACAATAATCATTTATTCATTGCTACAGCAAGATGCTGCTACTTGAACCATTCATGACAACAAGCTTATCAACTTTGTCTTCTTCTTCTGTGTTACAAGCGGGTGTCATGAGCTTAAAGTTGTGTAGCGCCACCTAACGTCAAGGAGTGATTTTGCATACTCTTCTGCTAGACGCCAGTGAAAATCGCTTGGGTTTGAATCCGGAAAAAACGCCTTGAAAAATGCTGACCATAAACGCAAACGAAAAGCGTCCCAGTGTGTACGAGCCTTAATAAGACTACGCATTGTGTGTGAAAAAGAGAGGTGTCTTTATAGTCCGGTTGATCATTGATTATGTGTATCAGCTGTGTGTGAGTGTCTGGATTATTGTCAGCTGTAGCAGATGTTGATTGGCGCAAAGATTATGGTAGTTGTAGTTCATGTGGTGGCAGATGTGTAGTTCTCCAGCGATCTGCATAGGCTAGATCGCTGGTGATCCTGACAGAAGGTTACCAATGTGTGTGACGGTTTTGGGCCGGGCTTATAGCGGGCCGTAACATATACCAGGTGATGGCCCAGATTTGGTTTACTATATTTATTAAATTTGCTACATTTCTGGAAATAATAAACACATGAAGAGCCAAATTTTATTCAATGAAATAGAAAAGATGAATGATGTAAACCTCCAAAAATAAATTACTTATGACTTACTGTTCGAATGCATGAACATAAATGAGTGAATCACGAGGTTATTAGATGAGTTAACGAAAATGTGCACTATTCTTTTCAAATGTTTGTGTAATTTCTTTATTTGTTGACAGATTTTGGCGTGCGGTTACATCAACTCGCTGGTGAAGAATAGCTGCTGGTTAATTCAGCTGCTCAGTCTGGCCTGCACCATTAAAGACTACCAACCAAAAACAGGTAAAGGACACTTAATGTTTGTTTTGTTGGATGCACTTTGCCAACATTTTGGTTTGTCGTCAATTTCAACAATGTGCCTTTCAAATGCAATTAGATCCACTTGTTTTTGTAGGTCACTGGTTTGAGTCCCGGCTGGGCTAGTTGGCATTTCTGTGTGGAGTTTGCATGTTCTCCTTATGTTAGCGTGGGTTTCCTCCGGCTGCTCCCGTTTCACCGTCCAAACACATTCGCTATAGCTGAACTGAATAAACTAAATTGGCCGAAGTGAATGAGGGAGTGTGTGTGAATGTGAGACTGTATGGGTGTTTCCCAGTACAGGGTTGCCGCTGGAAGGGCATCCGCTGCGTAAAACTCATGTTGGATTAGTTGGCGGTTCATTCTATTGTGGTGACCTCTGATAAATAAGGGACTAAGCTGAAAGAAAATGAATGAATGAATGTTTGGTAAACGAAGCAAGTGTCTCCTTATACATCTACTAAAAGTATTATTTTACAAACTGTAGCGTACATAATTCATATAAACGTGCATATTAGTCAATAGTATTAATAAAATTAATAAAGAAACAGAACAATTGTATATTTAGTTTATATAGGTTTATTTACTTGTGTAAGTGCACTTTAAATGCACCTCATTGGCACGGTTGCAGTTGGTTCAAAATGCAGCCGCTAGACTTTTAACAGGCACCAAAAAATATTCTCATATTTCACCAGTTTTAGCATCCCTTCATTGGCTTCCTGTTAAACTGTTAGAATTCAGTTCAAGATTTTACTTATTGTTTTTAAAGCACTGAATGGGCAAGCACCTTCTTATATATCAGAGCTTATTAACTTTCAGTCAACTCCTCGGTCTCTTAGGTCCTCAAATAAAATTTTACTGCAAATTCCTCAGTCACGACTTAAATTGAAAGGAGATAGAGCCTTTGCAGTCGCTGCTCCTCGTTTGTGGAACCAGCTACCACCGGATATTACAAGTGCTTCTTCTCTCTCTATTTTTAAGTCCAGACTTAAGACACATTTTTATTCTATTGCATTCGCAGGCTTTTAATCGTTATTGTGGTTGTTGCTGTAATACTTTTATTCCTATTATTACTTTTATTGTTATTTTTACTCTTTTAGAGTGTGTGCTATGGTTTTGTTCAGCACTTTGGTCAGTGCCAAACTGAAGTAAATGTGCTTTATAAATAAACTTTACTTACTTACTTACTTTAAAAAATATCCGGAAATTAGCAGTTTTGTTATTCATGTTTTATTTTTTATTTCCCCCTACTTATTTCTGCTTTTGAATTGCATTATGGGACCTTGATCTTTCTTCCAACAACTTCTAACCTTGATAAGTTTGAAAAGTGACATTTAGGCCCAATCCCGATTCTATCTTTGTACCCCTTCCCCTTAACCCTTACAACCGAGGGTTAAGGGGAAGGGCTTCAAAATTTACCCCTAAGAATTGGTACCTACAGTACCTGCACACATCATCATATGTCCTCGCGATTTCTTGCTTCAAATGGGATCAGACCATCGCGACTGCTGTAGTTATTCCGATTGTGTTATTTTTGGTTATTTATCTTCAGGAAATCACTAAGGCATATATTATGTTATCATAATGATCTAATGTGGCAATAAGATCGTAATACTGTGCATTTAACACAGTGGCAATACACATCAATGTAAACACACAAAAACCGCATAACATTATAGCAGACACTGTAAAAAAGCTCATTGACAGCCACTAGACTTTTCTGACAGGGTATTCCAGTGTCATCGAGTGTCAGAATGTTGTGGGACTGCTGTACAGGAGTTATGATTACCCACCCAGCAAAAACTAGTCGAATAGACGTTGAAAAGACGACATTTTCAGACGTCCAAACAACGTGGAATACAGGTGGGAAAGTGAAAGGTGAAAAGACGTCTTTTTCATGTCGTCGAAAAGACATCGTTGAAGGACGTCATTTTTAGGTCTAAATTTGGTTGTAAATGAAAAGGTAAAAGACTACTTCCAGTTTGTGAGAGACTTTTATAAAGCAATCTTCTAACCGTTTTAGAGGAATTTGAACTGATTCATAAATTCAATATTATGTTTTAAAACGTATTACATTATTTGCTCTCAAAATAGGACAACAGACAAAAGTAACAACAAAATATTAATTGGTCAAATAAACATGAACAACAACAACAAAAAGCATAGCTTTTTCAGCTGTGCGTCTGCCACCATCAGACCGACCAGGTGCATGTTTTAGGTGGTCTCCCACGGCTCTGTAAATTATGTGTTCTGTGGCTGTTTTGTCCCACATTTTGGGCTCTATCATACACCCGGCGCAGTGTGACGCAAGGCGTGGCGCAGTAGTCTTTTGGTAGTTTCAGCTTGGCGCAAGAGTCGTCTTGAGGCGTTGCGCTACGTTGTTTAAATAGCAAATGCATTAGCACTCATTTGTGTGCCCATAGGCGTTCTGGTCTAAAAAGGAAGGCGTTCTGAGGCGGACCGCTGGCGCGTTGCTATTTTGAGAAACTATAATAGATTTTTCATTAGACCAAAACTAACCCGGTCTAAACTCCAGTGCAGAGTTGTGCCTCGCTTACACACTGCTTAATACACACAAGAGAGCAATAGGCAAATATCTTTACATATGAAAAAATGTATATATTAAGGATATATATAGGATATAATAAGAATAGATATAGAATATAAATATAAAAGATTAAAATATTACAAAACATATTATTTTCTAGCCTACATAAATATGAAATATCACTGCTTTTATGTCTTCTTCATCTCGGGAGGCTTTTTCAGTTCATTCATAACAATTTGCTTTTGTATAATGTTATTATTATTAGCAGTATTATTTATTATATCCATATTTATATTTGTTTTATTAAAAACAAGCTTAGATTTGTCCACCTGTCAGGTTTTAGACCATAAGGGGCACAGCATGTGTTTTAGGATATAACTCAGGTTTTTGAGCTCATTTTGTTATTATTATTCATTTATTTGTTTGCTGGAGATTAGAACTGAATTTAGAAACAGTTTTGAAATGAATATTTGCGCTTAACAAATGCAATTAATTATTTATAGGCTAATTGATGTCTGTGCGTAAAGGTTTCCCTATCCAAGAGCGAAAGTGAAAGTAGTTCCAATATCTCTCATTCTTACGCAGTAGATGCTCTGTTTAACAGTTTTCTGTTAAAAAAAAAACTGTTAACTGTTTGCTTGTGAAATGCTAATTTTTTCCACTTAGACTTACTTTGCGTCCTGTAAATAGCAAATGTGCTCTTGGCGCGGCGCAGCTGCTCTTAAAGGGAATGGGAGATGAGGCTCTAATTGGTTTATTCTCAAAACACACCTATAACTCATTAAGAAAATAAGCTCAACCCTTTTAGAACATGCGCCGCGGCGCAAGGCAGATTTCCCGTCCTTAAATCAGCAAAAACGCGTCCTGACACGCCCTGAAAGCGTTTGCGCCCTGCGTTTTGCGCTCTGCGCATCAACCGTCAAAATAGAGCCCTTTGACTGCAGCTGCAATGACAAAAAAAAAAAACTCTCAGCTGTTTCTGTTATAGCGCGCATCCGTACGATCACAGGCTTTGTTATTTTTACTAACTCTTGTGTTTAAATTAATATGATTCAAACAATAAATGCTGCTTTGACTGCATGAAACGCACGTTTATAACATTTTATTTTTATTTTTAAGAAGTGGACAGAGATGGCAAAATGATACTGATGTTTAAAACGACTCTGGTAAAAATTTAAGTACTGACTACACTTTGTATTCAAAATAAATATGGCCTCAACCACGTAATAAAACGTATCCATTACTACCTGTTTTAGTTTTACGATAACTAGACCTCACATTAATACATTTATACAAAGTAACATACATTTCTAATTTTGATGTTAACAGTTGCCAGTTGTCAGCAGGATAGCCAAGCATACAACTCAAAAAGTCACTTTATCATATAAACTATATAAACCATATGTGCTTCTTTAAGAACGGCTGTTATTTGTGAAAATAATAGTATGTTTTAAGTGTACATTATACTTTTATTAAAAAAAATAAATTTTTTGCATGATCTTTTTTTCACGTGAAAATTTCCTGATCTTTGCATTATAATTTGATCTATACCCGCGATTCGATCGAATAAACACATTTTTTTAACCGGTGTAAACAGACAGCATCAGTCATGATTACATTGCTGACTCTGTTAATGTAATCATGTAATTAGCCTTTTGCCTTTATAAGCCAGCCTGCATCACCATAAGTTAAAAACATGAATTGAAAAGAAACAATTGTTTTGCAAGGGAACTTTGCGAGGTAACCCAAAAGCTAAAAAAAAAAAAACTGTCGGAGGAAAATAAAATAATAATAATAAAGATAAATAAAAATATGATAGCGAATATATCGCGTCAACAAACACATTAAAACATATGGAGAAAATGCTGGGTCAGAGGAAAATATATACATATTTTTTGTTTTTGCGTTACCTCGCAAAGTTCTCTGGTTTCCTTGCAAAACTGGTGTTCCACAAACACTCCCTGTTCATTTTATATTTTAAAAATAAATGTAATTTTAGGTAAATTCCAAGCATGAACCCAGAGTAGGCTATGCAATTATATTATATTAATTATATTATATTATATTGTATTATATTAATTATTTAATATTATATTAATTATAATGTATTATATTATAATATTTATATTGTATTGTATTGTATTATATTATATTATATTATATTATATTATTTATATTGCACTGTATTGTATTATATTATATTATATTATATTATATTATATTATATTATATTATATTATATTATATTATATTATAGTATATTATATTATATTGTATTATATTATATTATATTATATTATATTATTTATATTGCACTGTATTGTATTATATTATATTATATTATATTATATTATATTATATTATATTATATTATATTATAGTATATTATATTATATTATATTGTATTATATTATATTATATTATATTATATTATACTATATTATATTATGTTATATTATATTAATTATTTAATATTATATTAATTATAATGTATTATATTATAATATTTATATTGTATTGTATTATATTATATTATATTATATTATATTATATTATATTATATTATATTATATTATATTATATTATATTATATTGTATTATATTATAATATTTATATTGTATTGTATTATATTATATTATATTATATTATAGTATATTATATTATATTATATTATATTTTATTATATTATATTGTATTATATTATATTATATTATATTATACTATATTATATTATGTTATATTATATTAATTATTTAATATTATATTAATTATAATGTATTATATTATAATATTTATATTGTATTGTATTATATTATATTATATTAATTATATTATATTGTGTTGTATTGTATTATATTATAATAGTGTGAATGAGTGTGTAAGGATGAAAAACGAATTATTATTCATTCATTCATTCATGCATGCATTCATTCATTCATTCATTCATTCATTTATTCTCCTTTCCGCTTTGTCCCTTGAACCTCCAACATATCCAGCATTTACCAAGCGGATGCCCTTCCAGCTCATACAGAGGAAACCTCAAACATCAGAAGTCAAAAACGTGTGTATCATGCAGTCAAAATTGCATTTATTATTTAAATGTCACGTTAACAAAGAAAAACTCTGTTTTAGTTGATATAGTGCGCATCCTTACGGTCACAGTCTGTTTTCTGATGTGTTATTTTTTTAAGTAAGTCTTATTTTTAAATTAACAATCAATCAAATAATAAATGCTATTTTGACTGCATGATACACACGTTTTTGTATAAGGACACATTACAGTTGTTTTAACCATACTTTTTAATGTATTATTATTTATTTTTAAGAATTTGACAGAGATGGCAAAAGTACACACATCCTACTCAAGAAGAAGTGATACTGATGCTTAAAACAACTCCAGTAAAAGTTGAAGTAGCCTACTGACTGCACTTTTGCAGTCAAAGTACATAGTATGGCCTCAAACACATAATAAAAGGTTTCTATTACTACCTCTTTTTCATGCTGGTAGACTCACAACATTCAGTACATGGATACATTTATACAAAGAAACATGCATTTCTAATTTTGATGTTACATAGTTGCCAATTGTCAGCAGGATAGCCAAGCATCACTCAACAACATGCTCAAAAAGTCACTTCGTACCATCAGCTTGACACACAAGCTCAGCATTCAACATATAGTTTTGCTGCTTTTCGATCAAGAACACCTGCCATTCGGGTTAATAAGCTCTAAAAATAATAGTACATTTTAAACTTAAATTATAATACAGTTTAAATGTACACATTAATTCTATAAAAAAAAATTTTTTGCATGATCTTTTTTTTATGAGGTAATTTCCTAATCCTATCCATTATAATTTTATCTATAAATGACCTGCAATCTGGTCATTAAAACATCTTATTAACTGGTGTAAACAGTCAAATCAGCCGACTCTCTGTTGTAAATCATGTAATTAGCCATTTTGCCTTCATAAAAAAATGGGTGTGAGAAAAAAACTGGATGGAAGGAAATTATATTTGTAAGTTTTTTGTGTTACTTCAGCAAAGTTAACTCGCAAAGATGTTTTCCACAAATACTGCATGTTCACTTTTTGTTTTCACACGCACAGGGTACAGAACTTAGCCTTACTAATCATGAATACAAGGCCCATATCTGGGCCACATAAAAAAAAAATGTATTACTTAGCCCAAGCTTGGTGGAGTTGTGGCACTACTTTGGTTCAGTTCTGGCTACAAGGATTGTGGCCAGTTCTGGGCCGGGGAACACTAACTGATCTGGGCCACATCTTAGCTGTTGATTTGGACCAGATCAGGGCCAAAGGAAATTTGCTGACTGGGAATAATTTTTTAAATAATTTAATCCTTTAATTCATTTGTAAAAATATATGTATGAATGAGCATCCTGTTTAGCCTATTGTTACAGCAAAAAGGATTATAGTACATTTATGATTTATTAATAACAAGATAAATAGATTAAATCATAAAATAAAATGGAATTATAAAGTGTATTACGATTTTGTTTTGTTTTTTTCTACCCTATTTTATTTAATCAATTTTTTTACCTTGATGGACTTTAAATCTTAATTTACATTATTTGTTACAATCTTTTGCTTTATTAACAAATCGACTTACATGAAAAGTAATTGCATCAGTGCATGAAGCAGAAGGGAAAATACAGAAGGCGTTTACAGCAGTAACGTCGTACTGTAATTTGTTTGGCATTATTTAAATGTAATGGCACTAAACTGCTATCTCTATAAATATATTTTGCATTCTACATTGGAAAGAAAGCAATAGATGTAAAACATTTTGTGATGAACTTATGTACTAATTCTTTATGCGCTCTTTCCGGCAATCTTCCTTCTGCATTCACACAGCGCAGCATTCCGGCAAATTACCAGCAATGTTACAACTTCTCTTTCCGGAAAATAGCCGGAACGAATTTACCGGTATTTTCAAAAGGGGCCTGTTTACACATACAACCTTTCTGGAAAATTGCTGGTAATTTTCCGGAAAGGTCTGTATGTGTGAAAGGGGCTACTGTGGTGTGTCTTATGGTGTGACGCTGTTTTATAGTGTGACGCAAACTTATGGTCTGACGATGTGACGGCATGACGGTGTGACGGCGTGACAGTGTGACGGTCTAACGCTGTTGGTGTGACGGCGTGACAGCGTTTTAAGACTTTAAATCTTAATTTACATTATTTGTTACAATCTTTTGCTTTAACAAATAACTTCTCTTTCCGGAAAATAGCCTGAACGAATATACCGGTATTTTCAAAAAGGGCCTGTTTACAGTGTGATGGTGTGACGGCGTAACGCTGTTGGTGTGACGGCGTTTTAAAACTTTAAATCTTAATTTACATTATTTGTTACAATCTTTTGCTTTAACAAATAACTTCTCTTTCCGGAAAATAGCCTGAACGAATTTACAGGTATTTTCAAAAAGGGCCTGTTTACGGTGTGACGGCGTGACGGTATGACGGCGTGATGGTGTGACGGCATAATGCTGTTGGTGTGATCTGTAAATGTAGCTTGTGAGGACGCTACTGCGCTAATTGACTAATAAAATAGCTTCGCTACTGAAAAGCTATTTGATTTAGAAAGAAGCGACGCTACCGCCACGATACTGTGAAATGTAGTTAAGCTAGTAGTGTCACTACTTGTAGCGACGTTACTGCCCAACAATAGTTTTACAGCCGCTATGTTACAATATATGCGTCATCCGTATAGCGATGTAATAATTAACCGGTTTCACTATTAAACACTTTAATTCATCACAATTAATTAATCATAAAGGCTTCTCAACAACGTATTTATGCACGGAACAAAACTGCAGCAACTAAACAAAGTTATCCCAACTGTGCACTAGATAAAAGGTGAGCTTGTACACCGAGACTAATAACCATAACCACGCACACTGGATTAACTTTGGCTGAGGCTTTAACTGAGGCAAGTTCGTTATTTCCAATGGAGGGACGTGCACGCGAGGCAACGCGCTCACACTTTCCAGCCGCATCTAGTTGAGGTGACTGGGAGCTTCTGTGACCACGGAAAATGCAAACGGCTGAAGTTTAGGGAAGACGCAATGAAAAGTACACGTTTGCAAACCCACCTAAAGTTACAAACAATGGCGCCGATGAGAGCGTCATGTGGTGAATGTTAATCCGCCAGCCGAAATCAATCGAGTGTTGTCAGAGAGCGGGCCGAGAGACTCGGTGGATCAGCTGTTTTTAATGGCCTGAATCTCGCTACGTTGCATTCTCTGCGTGTTCAGTGCAAATGGCTGCTAAATGTAAAATCTCTGTAGCTCATTCGCAGGAAGACGATGAAGGCTCTTGTGTTGAGCCCAATGAGCCTTACATCCAAAAATAGAGCAAGGGTGTTTCTTTGGTGACATCGCTTTGACTCACATGCTGAAAATGGCGGACATGACACAACAAACTGAGGATATGGTAATGCGCGCCTGTCAATCAATATTGGTGGACGGGGGGACCGCACTCCTATGTCAAGTTGCGGTCAGTCTGAAAACCTCTCCACTTTGTCCATCGTTTTTATGTTGGTAAATTGAGAAAAAAAGAATTGTGTGTGTTTATATCACCCCAATATAACGGTCTATACACTATTCCTACACATATGTCTGTCCAAACAGCTTGAAAGGTAGATTTTTCACCATAGGTGCCCTTTAAAGTGTTAAATTATCTGGGTTGGTGTTGTATATTACTCTACAAACACCATGCAATAAACTGCCAGTGCATTTTCTGTTATTTTACAGACTCTTTTCTTTAGATATTATTTCTTATACATTGTTTTAAACTACTAAAATGTCAATAAAAGTCACTTTGTCAAACTGTAGAAATGTATTTTTCTACATCAAAAGTTGACAGAGCAGACCAACATCCCATAATGCACAACTGTAAATAAACAGAAAACTGTTAATTAACATATATTAATAGATATATGTTAATAATAATAGATATATTTTGCAGCGTGAATAGACTTAATAATAGTCTAAAAAAATCTGCAGATTTCCGTACATGCAGATTCTGTATGGGCATATACCTTATGCTGAATTTCTAATATCTATACGTGTTTGTGTCTGTGTGTTCAGATCTGCCTGGAGTTGACTGTGAGCTGCCAAAAGACGAGGCCGGGATCATCTGGGACAGCATCTGCTTCACCTTCCTCCTCCTGCAGAGAAGAGTCTTCATGAGCTACTATTTCTTGCATGTAATCGCAGACATTCGAGCCGGACAGATTCTTGCATCCCGGTACGACATCTTTTATATACATGAGCAAAAAAATAAAAATTGCATTAAAAAGTGTACTTTAATGACTGTTGTTTGGCCAATCACAGCAGAGTATGATCATCTGACCAATTGCAGCAAAGTAGGCGACATGGCATTAAAATGTGTACTTGGATGACTGTGGTTTGACCAAGCACAGCAGTGTAGGCAACATTGCATTAACATTTGTACTAGAATGAATCTGGTTTGGCCAATCAGAGCAGAGTATTTACAGCAAAGTAGGCAACATGGCATTAAAATGTCTACTTGGATGACTGTGGTTTCACCAATCACAGCAGAGTATGGTAAACCTTCTTTACTTGTAAGTCGTTTTGGATAGAAGTGTCTGCTAAATAAGTAAATGTAATGTAATTGTCAATCTGACCAATCAGAGCAGAATAGGCAACATTTTGACCAATCAGAGCAGAGAGGCATTAAAATCTGTTCTACCTACCTGTCTGCTCCCATTTATATCATGCAGTACAGTAAGTGACTGTAAATAGAGTATATTAGAGAGTTATTTGTATGTGTTTGTGTCCGTCAGAGGAGCTGAGTTGTTTCAGGCCAGTATCGTGAAGGCTGTGAGAGCTCGTCTGGAGGAGGAGAAGAAATCCATGGAGCAACTGAAGAGACAGTGAGAAACACGCTTTACTTTATGTTGCATGATCTCAGTGTTTGTGTTTAGACCTGGGTACAGATCCACAATGAGTCTGGCTTGCAAGTTTGTCTTGTTTTCCAGCACCAGCATATAAACATTCATGAATTAACACTCATTTGCTTGAGAATTAAAGTGACCTAAGACATTAAATCTTCAAAAATGATCAGAATTGACTGGATTTATACTTAAAAGCCTAATTAAAAATGTGTTTTGTTTACATATTTTATACCAAAACCACTTTCTCTCACCTATTCAGGAGCCATGCATGTGCTTCGCTGACAGGTCAAATCTGCTTCTCTCTCTTTCAAGTTCAAAGCAAAGTTGAATGCGAAAGCATTTTAGATATGTGTATAAAATAGCCTATGTGTTAGCCTAATGACATCAGCAAATTAATAAAATATACAGCAAATGAGAAATAAATGACAGAAATATTAATAAAAACAGAATATCTCTAAAAATATTCATAAATAATCATATTTACAAGATTTAAACGTGTAGATTATTTAAAGAAGGCAAATAGAGGATTTTCCACATCGGTCGCGGATGTTTGGTTCAATTAGGCAGAAACTTAAACAGTGTAGAAGAATGATAGCTGTAAAAAAAAACGTGTCACTAAATATATTTAGATATCAGCCCAAGTAAAATATGTGTGTGGCAAGCACTGAGTCAGACTAAATAGTATAAAATTTTATTAGCCGTCTTGCTTGTGTAACGGAGGCCAGCTAGTAAGTGCTGTGTAGGTAAACCTCTCTCCTCTGATCTCTAAAGGTGCTCTAGCGACAGATGCTAGAGGCCATGGTCTTTAGCCTCCTTGTTAGACCAACTGACTCCCATGCGGAAGGTCACCAGTTTGATCCCAGCTTGGAGCGGATTGGGTGGTGTAGGACCGGCAAGGTTACATTGGTGCCGTGACCCGGATGGGAGTGAGGTTTAGGGGGGTGAGTTTAACGGAGACCAGCTAGCAAGTGCTGTGTAGGTAAACCTCACTGCTCTGACCTCTAAAGGTGCTAGCGACAGATGCTAGAGGCCATGGTCTTTAGCCTCCTTGTTAGACCAACTGACTCCTATGCGGAAGGTCGCCAGTTCGATCCCAGCTTGGAGCGGATTGGGTGGTGTAGGACCGGCAAGGTTATATTGGTGCCGTGACCCGGATGTGAGTGAGGTTTAGGGGGGTGAGTTTAACGGAGACCAGCTAGTAAGTGCTGTGTAGGTAAACCTCACTCCTCTGACCTCTAAAGGTGCTCAAGCGACAGACGCTAGAGGCCATGGTCTTTAACCTCCTTGTTAGAGCAACTGACTCCTATGCGGAAGGTCGCCAGTTCGATCCCAGCTTGGAGCGGATTGGGTGGTGTAGGACCGGCAAGGTTATATTGGTGCCGTGACCCGGATGTGAGTGAGGTTTAGGGGGGTGAGTTTAACGGAGACCAGCTAGTAAGTGCTGTGTAGGTAAACCTCACTCCTCTGACCTCTAAAGTTGCTCTAGCGACAGACGCTAGAGGCCATGGTATTTAGCCTCCTTGGTAGAGCAACCGACTCCCATGCGGAAGGTTGCCAGTTCGATCCCAGCTTGGAGCAGGTTGGGTGGTGTAGGACCGGCTGGGTTACACTTGTAATCTTTAAACCTGTAGAATAGGCTTTCTTTGGCGAAGCGCCTACCATTTTTCATCACCGCGTTATCTTATGGCCGAATAGCAAATGAATCATTCAAATGAATCTAATGAATCATTTAAAGCATGAAGCTATTCTTAATGAACCAAATGACCGAATTCAACTGATTCTTTCGGACCGATCTGAGAACCGATGAGCTGTTATACTGTGCATGCGTGACTTAAAGCTTTCAGTTTTGTTTTGTTTTTAAATGCATAATATATAACAAACGTTGTGTATTTAACAAAAACAAGTTATTTCGAGTCATTTAACTCAAGTCCAAGTCAAGTCTCAAGTCATGACAGTCAAGTCGAGTCTTTTTTGGATATTTGTCAAACAAGTCTCAAGTCTTAAATTTTGTGACTTAAGTCTGACTTGAGTCAAGTCATGTGACTCGAGTCCCCCATCTCTGGTCTACAGAACAAACCATCATTATACAGTGACTTGCCTAATTGCCCTATCTTGCCTAATTACCCCAGTTAAGCCTTTAAACGTCACTTTAGGCTGAATACTAGTATCTTAAAAAATATCTAGTCAAATATTATTTACTGTCATCATGGCAAAGGTAAAATAAATCAGTTATTAGAAATGAGTTATTAAAACCGTAATGTTTAGAAATGTGTTGAAAAAATCTTCTCCCCGTTAAACAGAAACTGGGAAAAAAACAAGGGGGCTAATAATTGTGAAGTCAGCTATATATGCATGTTATTATTATATTATTTGACCATTTTTATGCATGCATAATCATCACTATGAATGTGTTAATTCAGGATGGATCGTATTAAAACGAGACAGCAGAAGTTCAAGAGAGGAAAAGAGAAGATGCTCAGCATAGCCCAAGAGTCTGGAGACGGAGAGAAACTCATCCCACCAGTGGACAATGAGGAGGAGGAGGACGAGGGTATGATGTACATCATGACTGTATTAAAGTGAAATATTTAAATACACTCTTTAATATGCAAAGGTCAGGAAAGTAAATGCAAAATAATAGTAAATAGATTAAATCAGTTCTTATAAACCCATCAAGTTTACACTTCAATAGTCAGAATATTTCTTACATCATAATCTTTAGGATATTTAGATCTTTTTTTATAGTAGAATTGTAACTTGTCCATCCAATTAATAAATGATAACAGAATTTACATTTTTTGGGTGAACTATCCCTTTAAGAGTGTTTCGTGAATCTGGTTTACAGCAGAAACTACACTACCTGACAAAAGTCCTGTTGTGGATCCCAGTTGTGATGCTGCTTTCACACCAGACGCGGAACGCGTGGATAAATCGCGCTGTTTGCGCGTAAATTGCCACGTGAACATTTGAGTTTACTCACTTCATTCGCGCGTCAAATCAGCTTCATTCGCACGTCAAATTCACTTCAGAACAGACGCAGATTCGCGTGATGGGCAGGGCTTCGGTCTGCCTGGTGACTCTAGCTTCATAGCTAAATTGCTAACATGGATTTTATGAAAAAAATGACAGTGTTTATGTGCTTTTTGAAGACTGAAAAACAGCGTTGATACGTTTAGGGTCGTGTCTGAGTCCACTACATCCTTTCAGAGGTGCATCCAGCTCTGTGAGCTCATAAACTCCTCCAGAAACTGAACCTGGATGACTGAGGCTTTCAGCGGTGCTTCTGACTGAGCCAAGCCCATTTTGATGAACAGGCGATACGTCACAATCACGCCCCTACAAGAGCAAGCTCCTAAATGGTTAACGCAAATGTCCGATGAAGTTCAAATTTTCGAACTCAAGTGATTTGTGGGAAATGCGCGTCAAACGCACAAAACGCTCAATTTGCGCCGCACCATTCGCACTGCGCAGTTCATGTCATTCGCGCCGTGCCATTCTCGCGTATCGCGTCGCAGGATGTCTATTTGCGCATTTGCATTGACTTAACATGTAAATCACTTGTGCTTGACGCGCGTTCCGTGTCAGGTGTAAACGCAGCATAAGAGCAACAAGTAATAACTTGACTTCTAGTTGATCATTTGGTAAAGCAGAAGGTAGATTTCTCTGATGAATCATCTGTTGAGCTGCATCCCAATCATCACAAATACTGCAGAAGACCTATTGGAACCTGCATGGACCCAAGATTCTTACTGAAATCAGTCAAGTTTGGTGAAGGGAAAATCATGGTTTGGGGTTACATTCCGCATAGGGGCGTGGTAGAGATCTGCAGAGTGGATGGCAACATCAACAGCCTGAGGTATCAAGACATTTGTGCTGCCCATTACATTCAGGGTTCATACGGTCCCAGAAAATCTGTAAAGTTGTGGAATTTGGGAAATTGGAGGCATAGGAAAGCTCAAATATTTTGGAAAGTCATGAAAATAATTTGTTTAACAAAAATCTATCTACTTGAATATGTTTGAGGTGATAATATAGGGTATTTTAACTACAATATCAGGTTTATCTCTTCATGCGATGTTCTCTGTTTGGGGTTAAAAAGCAACTCGCAGTTTCAGCTCATTTATTCATTCATTCATTTTCTGCCGCTTTTTTGGGGCCGGGTCGCGGGGGCAGCAGTCTTAGGAGAGAACCCCAGACTTCCCTCTCCCCAGACACTTCCTCCAGCTCCTCCGGGGGGATCCCGTGGCGTTCCCAGGCCAGCCGAGAGACATAGTCCCTCCAGCATGTCCTGGGTCTTCCCCGAGGCATCTTCCTGGTGAGACATGCCTGGAACACCTCCCTAGGTAGGCATTCAGGAGGCATCCAAATCAGATGCTTGAGCCACCTCAGCTGACTTCTCTCGATGTATCCGAGATCTTGTCCTTTCAGTCATGACCCAGAGCTCATGACCACAGGTGAGAGTAGGAACGTAGATTGAGTGGCAAATCGAGAGCTTTGCTTTTTAGGCTCAGCTCCTTCTTGACCACAACAGGCCGGTACATCGACTGCATTACTGCTGTCGCTGTAATCTCATGTACCCTCCTTCCCTCACTCGTGAACAAAACCCCACGATACTTGAACTCCTCCACCTGGGGTAAGGACTTTCCTCCAACCTGGAGATGTAGAACCACCTTTTTCCAGTAGAGCACCATGGCCTCGACTTGGAGGTGCTGATTGTCATCCCAGCCACGTCACACTCGGCAGCAAACCGCCCCAGTGCATGCCGAAGGTCCATGTTTGATGAAGCCAATAGAGCAGGGGTTTTCAAAGTGTGAGGCGCGCCTCCCCTGGGGGGCGCCAGAGCATGTCAGGGGAGGCGCGGGAAAAAAATATTATATAATAAAAATATAATTATTAAGTTTAATTATTATATGTATTTTTGATAGTTTTTAAACGTTTTAATTAAACAAAGCTAAAAAATAATAATACGTCAAAAATAAGAAAACCTTTTTTACCCAGAAGGCCATAGCTGTGGATTCGCTTCTGTTTGGCAAGCCCGCCAATACAGGTACATGCCTGCTAATACAATGGATCAGTTTCTGAGACCCCCTGATTCAAAGCCTTCAAGTACAGGGCTTAAACCCAAAAGACGACGATATGATGATCAGTATTTGAGTTTAGGATTTAAGTGGACAGGACCAGCTGATGAACCATGACCTTTATGTGTGGTTTGTCAAGATATTTTGGCTAATGACAGAATGACACCCGCTAAACTTCGGCGACACCTTGAAACCAAGCATGATAAGGTAGCAGGAAAACCTCTAGAATTTTGTGTGTGTGTGTGCGCGTGTGTGTGCGTGCGTGTTTGGGAGGAGGGGGGCGCCAATGGATAAGTTGTGTCAAAAGGGAGGCCCACTGTCTTAGACTTTGAAAAACTCTGAAATAGAGCAACAAGTTTCAGCTCTAAAAGTTTGTACTATTTCTAAGTCTTTTATAAAACACAAGCCAACATTTCTTAAATATTTTCACACAGACAGCAAGGTACTTTCTGAAAACGATTTTAAATAAAAATAATAAAAAAATAATGCACAGATTGTCACATATTTTTGATGTACTGTAATACATTTTAACGTGCATTTTTTCATGTAGTGTACGTAGACATTACATGAAACATTAGGTCATGAATATTTACCTAAAAAGTTGGTAAAAGTTTTGAAAAAGTCCTGGAATTTTAGTAGTAAAAATGTGTGTGAACCCTGTACATTACAAACCAAAGGAGAGGGCAAATTCTCCAGCAGGATAGCGCTCGTTCTCAATCTTCAGCCTCCTCATCGAAGATCCTGAAAGCAAAGAAGGTCAAGGTGCTCCAGGATTGGCCAGCTCAGTCACCAGATATGAACATTATTGAGTATGTCTGGGATAAGATGGAGGAGGCATTCCAGATAACTTATTAATAAATGATTTGAGTCATTGCAGAGATGTATGGATGCAGTCCTCCAAGCTCATGATGGAGTCAGACACAATATTCATTCTGTTTCCACTGCAGCATTACTTTATAATCTATACTGGACATTATTTCTATTTAGTGACAAGACTTTTGTCTAAGCAAGGTCAGACCTTACTGTCCTAATGAAATCATTAAAAATCAAGACATGATCATATTTTATTTTGGTAAAATAAGCGAATCTAGAGGCCTTTGCCTTTCATATAAGCCACTTCTGATACCAAATGATCAACTGGAAGTCAAGTTATTATTTGTTATTCATGGGATATGCAACAAGTCTTTTGTCAGGTAGTGTACTGTGCAGGCTGACATTAAGGATCAAGAAACCTTTTTTTTTTTAAATTCTGTTCATTTTTGCCATACTGACAGTCGTCTGAATTATTTTCTGTTGCTTGTAAAATTGTATCAAACTGCATAATATTGACCTTTTCCACATAGCAACCGGGAAGAGGTTTTATTTCCAGTTTCACCGTCACTTCTCCAGTGTTTTCATTAATGCTCTTGACGTTTCGTTTGCAGAGAAAAAGAAAAACAAGGTGCAAAAAAAGCAGTGGTGGAGGCCTTGGGTTGACCATGCGTCCAGTAGGTTCTTCATACCTTCCTCTGATCTCACTGCTCCTTGTGTCCTTGACCAGAAGTCAGAGGATTCCCTTAATGCACCTGTGCTCCGTCCAGACCATAGACTTTTCTACATCTATTTAAGGCAGCTGGACATATTAAAGTACAATGAACTAACCATATTGATTTTGTTAGCTCTCATTGCTAGTTTTGTGGTAAACACTTCATCTGGGCATGGCATTAAGAAAAAAAAATAGTTTGCTGCGTGTTTACAACAAAATGTCTAGTGTATTTAGACAGGAGGAGTGTGTCCTACAGGTGGCTGTCAAGCAAGCTCATCTGCATGGAGCACACTCATGCATCATTCCGTTTTGTGGTGCATTATGTGTACGCTTTACTAAAAACATAGGTCTTTAATCTAGATTTGAACTGAGATAGCGTGTCTGAGCCTCGGACACTATCAGGAAAACTATTCCAGAGATTAGGAGCCATAAATGGGAAGCCCCGACCTCCTTTAGTGGACTTTGTTATTCTAGGTATTACCAGAAGCTCTGAGTTTTGAGATCTTAAAGAGCGAGTTGGATTGTAGCGAGACAGAAGGTTGGTAAGACAAACAGGCTTTGTAGGTAAGAAGCAATATTACATAATCAATATGGAACTTAACAGGCAGCCAGTGTAAGCAGGGGCGACCCCAAGTAGTGGCCAGAGGTGGCTACGGTCACCCCTTTGTTTACTCTGGCCCCAATATTATTTTGCTGTTGATATTATTAATTTAAATGTATTTATGTGAATTAACAATATTTCAATGAATAAATTGTAAAAATGTAGCCACTGTCGTTGTGGACTGCACGCACACACCTTCAACAGACAGCAATGACAATTTTTTTAAAGAACCAACAACGGGTATGTTTGTCATACATTTAGGTCTTTTGTTAACCTTTCTAGTTAAATACTAAAAGTGTTAACGTTACTTAACAGAATTCTTGAGGCTCGGTAAAGTTACCATAATTTGTTTAGTATTGTTTAGTATGGTAAGAGACGAAACACGACTTTGGGTTCATGAGATTGTACACGATTTATGAGGAAATAATTATTTTTTAAATAATACTATTGTGTTTTATCCAATTGAGAACTACAAATCCCAAAAATAAATAATTGCATTTTCAAATCAGCTTTTCAGAAACTAGTTTGTTTAGCACCTTAATTTTTTGGCTGGTTGACTTACAAGAGCCAAAAATCACAATTATTTTGCAGGGTGCATCAATAGAAGAAGCTGTATTGATAATATTGTGGCTCAAAACGAAATATGGATAAATTATATTATTAAGGTCTGTATAGTGAGCGTGTGTATACAGTAATGACTTTTGTTTAGGTTGTTTAGGTTTTTATTAATGAATTAATTAATCCTCATTACTTTTAGTAATAATATATAGTAATAATTGAAATGTTTTAAGATCAATTAATTAAATTAATTGAAACAACATTATTAATTTACTAAAAACAAAAATATAACATTACACTGTATTTATTATTTTTGTGTGTGTGTGTGTGCCACACCAAAATTTGATGTGGCCTCATTAGGCCACCCCTAAGAAAATATTCTAGGGGCGCCACTGAGTGTATGGAGGATCAAATTGGGGTGATATGATCATATTTTCTAGACCTGTTAAGCTGCATTTTGTACTAGCTAAAGTTTATTAATAGAGGACGCTGGGCAGCCAGTGAACAGAGCATTACAGTAATCCAGCCTAGAGGTCATAAAACCATGAACTAGCTTTTCTGCATCTAAGATGGGTAGCATACTTTGTAACTTAGAGATATTTCTCAATTTAAAAAAGGTGGTTTTTGAGAAAAAGGATTTTCAAAAGTTAGGTTGCTGTCTAAAATAACACCCAGATCTTTACACTTTAAAGTCCAATGTTTAAACACAAATACAAAATGACGGTGTTTTTTTTTTATTAGCTAACTGTGTTATTTTCTTTAATTCATCTGTGCAAGTTAATCCACTGAAAGAAATGTTTTGGTAATTAAACTCTGACCATTTACTTCCATGTTTGGAGTCATTCTGTTGAAGGGTTTCCATAGCAATTGCATATTAACACGCTCTCCTACCGTTAGTTTGCTATGAGGGAATAATGAGCAAAAGAAAGTCCCACCCACACTCAATATTCAGTTTAATTAGTTTGCTGCCTTAAATAGATCTGAACAGATGCTGAAGGAAAAGTGTAATGTCTGGATGTTTCTGCATGAGCAGGTGAACAGAGCCGTGCAGTAGAGAATCACTCTGCTTTCTTACAAATACACCGCAAACGCTGAGGTAAAAGAGAGACATTTCCCTTAACTGGAATAATTCATCCATTAATGAAAATTCTTTTTGTTTTCCTCCTTCCTACTTTGTTTAGAGTGTAGATTTGCTATGATACGATTGTTATGATTGAAGTACAATAAAGGTCCGTGTTTCTTGATTAAGGTCAATTAATATAATATTAACCAAAAGCAATAGCAATGACATTTATTTTGTTACAGAACTTTTTAGTTTCAATCCAATGTTTTTTAAACTTTATCAAAACGTTTCAGCTTAAGTTTGAATGAGCATTTGAATTAATTTTGAAAACTAATGTGATAGTAAAACCTGGAGTAATAATGCTGACAATTTAGCTTTCAGAATCACAGGAATAAATGAATTTTTTAAATATACAGCGGGCAAAATAAGTGTTAAACATGTCACCATTTTTCTTAGAAAACATATTTCTAAAGGTGCAGTTGACTTGAAGTTCCCCTGGAGGTTGGTAACAACCAAAGAAATCCATATATGCAAAGAAAACTAAACTAATTAGTTTACAAATTAAGTTATGTGTAATAAAATTAAATGACACAAATAAAAAGTTTTGAACACATGAGGAAAGGGGGGAGTATTCTGGCAGTGAAAGCCCATACAGCAGCTGAAATCTCTCAGTAGTTCTTCAGCAACCCTCTGCCCTTCCTCGGTGTAATTGAATATCAGCTGCTTCAGTCTAACATCTACATTATGAAGATGAAACCAGGGTGGACGTTTCAGCAAGACAATGATCCAAAACTCAGCCAAGGACACTCTCAAATGCTTTCAGAGAAAGAAAATCAAGCTGTAGAATGGCCCAGCCAATCACCTGACGCCAATCTAATAGAAAATACAAATTAAAGCTCAGATTTGATAGGCGAGACCCACAGAACATCAAGACACTCTGTTGAAGTCTGTGAAAAACATCTGAGCAATGCATGAGACTTCATTCTCCATATAAGAGGCGTCTTTAAGCTGCAGTACTAACAAAAGCCTTTTATATAAAGTATTAAATATTTTGTTATGTAGTCATAGTTATTACATAGAACACATTTTTCAGATTTGTTTTGTTTTATTTTTATGTTTGTATTGTTTGGGTTTTTAGCAAAATCTGCTTCAAATCCAAGTCAACAGCTCCTTTAGAAATATTATTCCCTTGAAAAAACAATACAATGTGTTCAATATTTATTTTCCCGCTGTATTACTATGTTTTTAATATATTGAATAATATTATAGAATATTATTGGTTTTTTTTTTATAAATCTAGAGACTTTTATAATATTATTACAGGGTATCCGCAGGGTGATAAAATGTCATTAATTTCAAAAGCTAAATTTTAGACCTTAAAAAGTCTTAAATCTACTGAAATGTTGTGTTGTAGGTCTTAAATCTTTTTTTAACAAGTCTTAATTTTTCTGTGTTCATGCAAAGCTTCCCAATCTGGCTATTAACACAAACAATCATTAACAATAAAACATTTTATATATATATATATATATATATTTTTTTCTTTTTTTAACTCTATATACCATAATGGGTGAGGCATTGGCGCAGTAGGTAGTGCTGTCGCCTTTTAGCAAGAAGGTCGCTGGGTTGCTGGTTGAACCTCGCTGGTTACATGTTCTCCCTGCCTTCGCGTGGGTTTCCTCCGGGTGCTCCGGTTTTCCCCACAGTCCAAAGACATGCGGTACAGGTGAATTGGGTGGGCTAAATTGTCCGAAGTGTATGCGTGTGTGTGTGAATGTGTGTGTGGATGTTTCCCAGAGATGGGTTGCGGCTGGAAGGGCATCCGCTGTGTAAAAACTTGCTGGATAAGTTGGCGGTTCATTCCGCTGTGGCGACCCTGGATTAATAAAGGGACTAAGCTGAAAAGAAAATGAATGAATATACCATAATGTTTTGATTACTTTCCTTTAAGTAACATTTGTTTAAAAGTTCTCCATTTATTTACTGCTGGGGATATTGACCTGACCTATATATATATTTGTTTATATAATAATAATAATAATAATAATATTATTGTATTATTAAATGTATTAAACTATGATCATTTTTGATAGGGCAAGTGAAAATAGTTTCCAATTGGGATATTTGAAAAAAATCCTTAGCATTTAGCCTTTTAAAAGTTTAAGATTTCCTTCATAAAGTTTTATTATTATATAGAGTGAATTATTATATAGAGCAGAGGTAATCAACCCTGTTCCTGGAGATCTACCTTCCTGCAGATTTCAGTTGCAACCCATATCAAATACACCTGCCTGTGGCCATCAAGTGCTGTTCAGGTCGTAATTAATTGTTCAGGTGTGTTTAATGAGGGTTGTAACTAAACTCTGTAGGAAGGTAGCTTTCCAGGGACAGGGTTGAGCACCCCTGATATTCACCTTATTCTCCGCCGACGAGTGGGCGCAGCCATTTGAATCTTTTTGGCTCGAGACTCCCGGTCTCATTCACTTCCATTTATTTTTTGACGTTAAAAACTGCTCATTACGCTGCTTGATGTTGCAATTTGATATTTGATATCTTATTATATTTTTCTACTTGGTCTGTATAGTCATGCAAACATTTGTTGATATCTTATTATAAATTTCTACTTGGTCTGTGTAGTCATGCAAACATTTGTTTGTTGAGCAAGTAGTTTGACCATTTTCTGCCGATTATTATTCCTAGTCATTTCTCCTATAGCCGACTGAATCGGAAGTTCTAAGAC